TGCTTGTTTTTCTTCTCTCTTTTTTTGGCTTTCAACACCCGAAGCCTACAAAATAGCTACAAAATACAAAATACGGCAAATTCACTGTGTACTAGTGAGATACAAGTATTGTACAAGGCGCAAGCTGGCGCAGTACGTAACGTAGAGTGGAAGTTCCCACATACTTGGACTCATCTCATCTAACATACGAACAACTCAACTAGCATCTGTCATAACTGTAAAAACCAACACTCCGAAACGCGGACAACGTTGTTCGAATACGACAAAGGAACTTTTGCTACCGTGGTAGCGCAGGCGGTAGATTTACTTTACCGTTAGACACGACAAGCTAGCGGATCCTCCAGCTTATGCCTAGAAGTTTCATAGTTAGATCGTTGTTGTGCGAAAGACCAGACTTGCCGATTCCGTCCCCGCTGTGCCCGCTGTTCGTCGGCCTTACAAAGCATCCCTAACCGAATGAGTCTTGTAGCAGGTAGCTAGCTTGCTTTTCGGGGCAGGTGAGGCGAGGATTGTATAGACGATCACAACAATGCGTATACCTACCTATCGCCAATACTTACACCCAAAAATAGCCGACGCACGCCGTAGGGCAGAGGGATCCGGTGGGGATAGCTACCTAGGTTAGGATCATCGATGATTGAAGCGGGGATCAGAGCCGCCTCGAATCATTAGTAAACACATTAGTAAACACGAACTGACATACGCACAGAGTGGCTATAGGTACCTCGTCGTCGTAGACGGTGAGAGCGAGAGCAAGGTCAGACGGAACATGCCACGGAACATGCCTTGGAGGACTCTGCGGATTCACATATCCTCGTCGGCTTAGGCACGCATCTAGCATCTCCAACGAGGCTTCCTGTTGGCCATTTTCGCCCCGTCCGTAGGAGTGCTATACGTGATCCCTTTCGCGATACCGTTGGCGCCATGGTACGGCACTTGATCCCCGCCGGCAGTAGAAGCCCGTCCCTGACATGAAACATCGTGTTAGATAGACGCCTCTAGGCAAAAGCGAGAGGGGTCTACGTCTGGTGTCGACCTAAACACCAACTGACCCATATCGAATACATCGCTTATATCACCCTTTCATAAGGTTTGCGACGCAGAACGGTGGAATGAGGCCGGCGATGTACAAGGAATATGGGGGATTGGATCCCGGTTCAAAGGCCGAGACTCTGTAAGATTCGTAGCGCAGAGGCACAGCAACGAGTTGTTGGCACCGCTGAGACACTTGTGGATTAGCTAATTCCACTGTCATGTATGTTTTGCGAATATGTCTTCTTCTCTTAGTCATGGATTAGCTGCTTGGGGAGTATAATATGGCCGAGGTGATGTAAGCATAAGCCTAACATACATAGGCTATAGATGCTTCCGGGGTTCTTTTCGAAGATCGGGTTTAAACCAACTTTATCGGTTCCGGACCGACGTATTAGTTATGGTTATTCGGCCTTACTCCGTCGCCGGAGATTTTAAGGAGGTAGGTATAAACGGTACCCGCCACGACTTACCGCCCCGGATAGGACTTTCTCGCCGGTAACATCGTGTTACCGATTATGCAGCATTTTCCTGCATCTATCATATGATTTGTATGTAACTAGGACGATCACATCGAAAATTCTGCACCGTCGTGGAACACGATAGGTAGCCTACTAAGGCTTAGGTAATTCCGAAATAAAAAGCAAAAAGGCTACATCTGCAGTCAGCAAAACGTGCATGCATACATATATGATCACAAGACAATAACAACGCACTCTCGGGCTCTCTCAGGCTCTCAGCCGAACGATCGACGGCGGGTCGAGGCCCGTAGTCAGCTTCGTTCTTGCACGCCGCCGTCGTGTAGCGTCGTACATTCGTTCCAATGACATGGAGCTGTGAAGGTCCTACATATATTACCTGTAGACGTCGTGGCAGTCGTGACAGCTGTAACTATGATAGGTCCGGCGACACGAGAAGGCGACCTCCGCGAGTGGGACTCGGACGGCTAGATCCCAGGGCAGCGGAATGGACTATTGCATTGCTCTTGTTATGGGATCGACCATGATGTACGGGCCATTATACTACAAAATTGTATTCCGCGTATTTTATTGTACGCCAGTAATTACACTAAAGAATAGACTAGTATGTATGTGTTCTATGGCACCTCAATATTAAAGCATGTAAATCAATCTTGGAAATCGAAATCCTATTGGAGTATCCCTTGCTTTCATATCCACCCTGAGAGCCATACCGCGGGGCCAAATGTACTGAACGTGCCAATGTGCTCTCGAGATTACGTAGCCATGTGGAATAGTGTAAAAAATCAAGTCTCCACACGATTCATGAGGAGTTACCGGAGTCAGAGTGAACATGTACGAATCGAGCTGAACGAACGTAGGTATGTACATAATGTGAGTCTATGCGCCTGTACGCGGAAATGGATCGTAAACCGGAACTGAGTGTCGATACCACCGGCGGACGATTCACTATATCGGGGCTAGTCGAGTGGGTTTTTGGCCAGAGCGTCCAAAGCGCCGCCCTGGTTCACGACCTGGACCCTTGGAGTAGGTAAAGAATCTCTCTTGCCTACCGCAGTATGTACATATACCTCAGACCCTTAAACCTCGGACCGCAAACCACAGAGACCATAGTCGCATCGCGAAGCGATCGAACCTCGACACGATGAAACTCCTATCTCCTAAAAGTGTGGGCTAGAAACGAGTATTCGCTCCACTTGTATCGGCGACTTGTATCGGCGAATGAAGACTTCAAGATCTGGATGGAGCTTGCACTTTTAGGAGATAACGCGAGCGCGCCCCGTTTATTGTTTCGGGTATTCTACCATGTATTATATCGTAATGTAGGAGTGTAAGTATATATGACCTCAGTGTATACATATACATATATACGTACATACAGAGACTCCTCTCTCGCATTCGGTGGGACGCCTAGAAACTCGTTTGCTAGTCTACATAGTGTGTAGACATGGGCTTGCTATGTATTGTAGGTCTACATGTGGAGCACGGTAGTGAATGACATATGCACCTAGTTTGTTTATGGAAGACATCTTCCAACATGGTTCCAACATGGTGACGCCTTGCATACGACGATCCATAATGAGCTAGATAAAAGCCGGGCGTCCGTAGTATAAGGCCTAGCGTCGAAGCGACAGATCTTGCAGCTGAACAACGCAGTCAGCAAAACCGTTCACACTCATCCCTTGGTTACTATGAGTAAATAGCCGCTTCCCTTACCCACAGCAGCCGAGGTGGCAGATAGATAGATTGGTAGATTAGAAGTTCGTGATGAAGTGTGCGCATGCTGCTATAAGCAATCGGTCCCTTCGATAGGCTAACCGGCTGACTGGCTGACCGTCACGGCTTCACTTGGAAGAGTAAGGCCGGTAACCGTACCTAATGTATGTATGCAGGGAGGATAACATGGGAAGCTCATGCGGGTGGGGATATGTAGATGATGGAACTTGAACGGGGTTAGGATCTATCCAGGCAACGTTTCTACCTAGGTAGTTTCCATGGTTGTCATATACCGACGCCTTGGTCAGCCTTACGAGAGGGAGGTTTCTTCAATATCTTCCGGCGAAAAAAAGAATACATGGATAATCCCAATCCCGTTTCCATTTTCCCGGCTGGAGGGGCACCTTGACAAATTCATGTTGGGACCGAGTTCTCGGAACGGGAAACAAACCCGTCTAAATTACTCACGAGATATTGGTTCATTAGAGGGAATTGAAAAAACCCTCATTTTCCAGCTAAAGTGGGTTAATAATGTTGAGCTGTAAAATTTCGTCCCAAAATCTCCCTACGAGAAATAGTTTGATGATTGGCCACGTGGTAAATGTTTGACCCCGTCACAAGCAAGGTCAGGGCAAGTATCAAAGACGATCTGCATCGCACGCAGAGCCTAGAAAATTAATTAAGGGACAGTAAGTCGGCAAGCAAAGTATGTCATCGTGCATCCGTGAGTCGTTTGCAAGAGTAGAGATGGTGTACGCAGTCCGTCCTCGGTTGTATACGTATCTTTTTATACATAGTAAGAGAATCGATCAATATTCTGGAAAATCGGCCCAAGTTTTCTCCCGAGCTTCCTGGTTAGGAAGGTTAGGAGAGAAGTGGCCCGCGGGAACGGAAGACTCGGTAGCCTATGTCACACAAGGGACCAGGTGTTAGGTTAGGGTGTTATGTATGTAGGGTGCGTTGTCATCGCATACATAGCATAGATAGTATTAGGTATTAGTATACATATTTGGGAGTTGGTTTGTTAATCCAAGCCAAGACTTGGTCCGCGGGGCAGCTAACCACATACATGGTAAAGAAGCGCCGTATCACGATACATAGGTATAGGTAAAGTTCCTGCAAAGTCTTAAGCGACGGTCCAAACTCACTCTGAAACGTTTCGATATTAAGAATCACCACATTCATCTTCATCCTCCGCGGCGTTGACGAAGCGTTGGCTTGGGTCTTCTCTGTTGGCCTATGTTCGTTCTTAGTGCTACGTTATATGTTACCGGCAGTGTGTGATAGGAGTAGGTAGAAAAGCTTGGGGTAAAAAAAGAACGTGTTGCTGAAGAAGTAGTATTATATTCCCGGATGTGTGATGCCAAGTGATGTGCTCTCCAATTAGTCGAGTGGCATAGTAACAACGCGCGACGACCCCAGGGGACTTGTTCGATAAGGTTTCTTTGCATATGAAAAAAGGGGTCTAATGAATACATATTCGACACATTCGACATGTTAGACGCACAATAACGTGCCATCCGCAGCTGGAAGCAATTTACTCCGGCTGATCAATTATAGTATCCGGCGAATGGGCCGTCACTGCGGGGACGCGTGGGCGATGCTACTGGACATCTAAAACCTATCCATTTACGTCCGGAGGTCGATACAAGGGCATAGGGCATAGAGCACCGGGCGCCGGGCTTCCTGAACAGTTAGCTCAACTTACTACCCTATCTACCCTATCGAAACTGGTATTGTACATAAGGTGATAAATAGGTGGCTGTTGGTGGGGTCACGTATACCGTCTTGACACGAGTCGTCCAGCCATCGACGTCAGTACCGTTGGTAGCGGCTGAGCTATTACACCCGTTTCATTCTACATGCCGTCAAAGCAGCTGAGAACTGATACGTCTTAAAAAAAATAAATAAATATAAAAGCGTCAAATTCTGATAAATACGATAACGTTTGATTTGCGACGTCGATAGGGTTTTCGATATAAGATTGTGATTTATTTACCTATTTCGATCTTTACCAATGATGATTGAGCCGGGGTAGAAGCGAAGAAAGACGGTACCATTCGGTCGACATACATTTGTGAATCTCCGCGGATAAGATATCCCACGCGCACGCAGGCTTGCTGCAAGGGGCCATTAAGATGCATACTAGAAGGAAAGGAGAAGGAAAACTTTTATTTTGTTTTATTTGCTTCTTCTCGGTGTTACGTATATGGATCACCTCCATGCACGAGCAAGCAGACTACCTAAATAACCTACCAGTTCCGATACCATCTGTATCCTAACGTCACTCGATAAGACAAATACCCGTAGACATGGGAGGGGGTGTGAGAAATGGGGAACAGGCAAAAAAAAAAAAAAAAAAAACCACTCTCACGGCTTAAAAGGGCTGACGTTCCTGTTTACCGGAAAGGGGAAGGATATAGTAAGTAGTAAGTACTGGAGATGGTTGGCAACATCAGTAATGACAAATGAGACTCGTATGTTGTCTCGGTGCATCGAAGGCCTGTCGGTACTTGAGCCCGAAATCCAATGGATCGCCAGGCTGTTGTCGTCGCCATTGTTGTCCATCTAGAAGAAGAAAGGATATGACCGCTACTAAGGGACAACGAGTAACAAGTAGCAAGTAGGAAGGAAGTAGGACGAAAATGTCTGGACGAAAAGTGCATGGCATATGCAGTAGCGACGAATATCGTTGGTCTCTCGTCTGGACACAGCCACACAGGCCTGCATATCACGCGGTAGGGAACTCGGCAATAAAATAGACCGGGACGTGCATATGGTCAGCAATGGGAACGAAGCGTGTTGTTGAGGTAAGAGGGGTTACCCAACTACATAAACAAAAGGGAAACAAAAAAAATAGCCCCTCTTGTCGACGACATATCCGCATACAGCCGGATTGCAGGAAACTAGCGATCAGGCCACAGCCTTGTTCGCCTCGTCATGGGTAAGGTACTGTAGCTGAGCTGAGCTCTCCCACGTAGCAACGTATATTCTACGTAATCCGTACATTTGCTATCATTTACTACACAGGTAAGTTGTTCGGCCCCCAAACCTGGCGTCGCCCGACAGCCCGAGTCCGGAGGCGGGACGAGATTTCAAGCTCAATATGGATGCAGCCTTGTAAGGTTACTTGCAGCCAGAGCTGCATGACATGCACGCCAAGCTTATATACACCTCACATACATACATACATCATACATGTACGTAGGAAGCGTACCTAATGTACTACCTAATGGGCCATGTATGTACAAAATACCTACTTATATACTCACTTAACCTACATAGACACATCACATATGCAGGTGTGCTTTTTCAGTTAGAGTCTGTTGCGCATCTAACTTGGTTACAGTTATGTCGCATACACTACCTTAGGTATGTATGTATGTATGTGTATAGTGTAGTGTATATGAGGTATGTATGCACGTATGTATAAGAAGAAAATAAAAGGAGAGGGGTTGGGCAGGGGAAATTGTACCCGAACAAGAGAACCATTTTGTGTACCTCGAGCTGCTGAGCTACCTATATGCACCCATACGCAGTACGTCAAATACTTGCGTTATCGTTGGTCGTCCGAGGGCGTCGCCGTAATACAGAATATCGTGCCATTAAATTGAATCCGGAAAACAAAATCGTAGCTAGCTCCGTTTGGCGATGGTTTCTTCAGCTGAAGAATTAAATTTCTTATTAGTATCGTATCACCAAGACTCTTCTAGCTACATAGGCAGCTAGGGTCTGTTAGGGCTGTTAGGCGTTGGAGAGAGCTAGGTAGGTCGCAACTCCGGAACGCGTGATAGTGTTAAGTTGACGATTTGGCGCCGCCGGAGATGCAGACATGTCAAACCCTAAGTCTAAGTAAAATAGTCTAGACCTTAATTGCTCACCGTGGCGTGCTAGTGGGGTTTGCCTGTCTAGCCTTAAGACTTTCGAGTCAATTCTTACATAAGTGTTTCGGTCTACTTAGCTTGGGGCTGCTTGGCCGAACTCTTGGTATAGCCCCCAGGCCCCCCGTAACTGGCGGACAAAATTCCGCCAGGGTACCTAATTTATATGCTAAACTAGTGATTAATGATACTATCGAGTCCCCATCGCCTATGCAAAAGCGGACTCAATATCCGCAAATATAATGATAGCCCTGGCTATCTACTATTCGGACCAGATCCATAGCAGCTTGCGTACTTATCCAGGTAGCTATCCAGGTAGCTATATAATGTTGTTATATACGTAGGCATCGCATCGGCCATAGCACTATCTTCAAGATCTTGAGACATGCGACAAGAACTTATTTCTTGACCGAACGGAACTGACGTAAATCAGGGGTAAGATCTTGCCATATACTATATCAAAGTAACGTTGCTTAAGTGGATTGGAACTTTTAAGATTATACATAGCAAAGTTTGGCTTGGCATGGGTTTCGTTAGTTTAAAGCTATGACGATGAGTAAGAAATTCTCATTACGTTAACAACTAACAGTACGGAGGTTTATAACATCTTGTACATGCGTAGACACATACACTATAGCATGCTTGTTCTCATCTTCGTTATGCACCTAAGACAAGCGAGCATAACTATGTATAATGCATAAAGCATCGGGGGTTAGAGCATTTCCGATATTTTGGTTCGGATTTTAACCTGTCAGTCTAGTACATGTGGCTATGATGTATGTATTAAATCCCGCGAACGGGACCCGGCCACGCGGAGAGCATGGACCGGCGGCATAGTTAAGACCGGAGGTAATCTCCTTTAAGGTGTGGATTGCCGTGTTAGTCTACATACACTAGCTGCTCCTCCTTTGCAATGCCTCAATGCCTCCAGACCTTACCCTAGCTCTAATACACTAAATAAATGTTATAGTAAAAACAAATTAAACTAGCATATCTGGGGGAGAAACATTCCGAAACGCCGTAGGTAATAATAACAAGCCAATTAAATATGTTTTAAATAATGGGGGAAGATGTTGACATCGAAGGTCTGATCTACTACATAGTATGTAAGGTCATCTAAGAGGTATCCGCTTCTCATTTATCGCTAAAGATATGATGCTGTTGACCTAGGTAAGGGTCTCTCGGTTGGAATAGCACAAGGGGGCGGAAGCTACCGGGCGACCGGAGGACCACCCAAACCCAGGCAACCGTGCTCGGCCAGTCTCTTAGATCTTGCATTACCAAAGTGGCAACGAGATCTTCGGCATTTTTGACGTCTTAGCGCCTTTATTGCAGCCATTCGGCCCTACGTAAGAGCGCTCACGAATCATGTTTCAGTCTCGAACGACAAGTGCCGTTCGGGGCGAATAAAAGTCGCTGCACTGTGACAATGTGCCTGCGTCCGTCGTGCGCGGCTCGCCTGTCGTCTGCCGACGTGGTACGCGCAACCTTGCAGAGTTAGATCCCTATCTGCACTATATACGCTTCACTACCATGTCCGCCGAGTCCAAAGTGTGACTTTATGCCATGGAGACATCTTGTCAAACCAAGTGAAAATTCGAACCGACTCCAAGCATGTAAGAATACAGTCCCGCCGTGAAACCGTCTAATCTCCCCGAATCGCGTACATCGTTGCTGCTTGTATGTACGTGCGTACATATACTAGAGCTCTAGAACCTCGGCGAACACGGAATGGGATTGGATGGGGCGGGTCTGATTGTTCTGGCAACCCCACATACTATGTAATAAATGGCCTATTCAGATGAAGCATGACATGGTATCCTGTTCTTCTGCTTTGGGTCTATCCATGGTGGGCTTCCCCGCGGTATCATCATTCGCATCGAGGCAAGCAAGCTCTCCCGATCCCCTTTTCCGGCTGGATAGGTAGGTACCTATGTGGAAGAGGACGCCGAAGACGACGAAGGGAGTCGGACCAAAAAGAGCTAGGGTTCATGTCGATTCCCATCAATAGATTTTCGTTGCCCTACCATAGGGGTAACACAGTTTCAGCAGCACATCAAGCCTTGTAGGGTACAGACGCTTTATCAAAGTAGCCAGGCGAGACGCCACGTTGTGTAGCAGATCATCCGAGATCCATTCCCTAGGCGATTTCGTGGCACATTCACATATCATCATATTATCAAGACCCGGCCGTGAGGTGTTAACGATCCCTGGAAACAGGTAGGCTAACATTTATTAGTGCGATTGTGTAGTGTAGAGCGCATTAAGTGGACACCTACTCGAGTCCAATTTTTCAAGATGATGGAACTCAGCTGAAAGTTACTAGTTGAAAAGGTCTTACATATTTGTAGACTGTCTTCAATTGGAAGCGAGTTTTATACTTGTATGACATCCTTACTATAGTTATATGATGAAGTCGAAGTTGAGATATGCCAATAGGTACTGAGTAATATACGTACGTACCCAGATACCACCCGAAGGATTCCTGATTCAGCGCCACGCGTTGTTAGCCACGCGTTGTGTTAGCCACTCTATAAAGAAAATGCCATTGTCGCACGGGCATCATTAGATAGCCGGATATCTACCTAAAGAAATCGGATCTAGCCACGATGAGGCGCTATCCTATGCATGGTGTAAGCGATCGAGAATGTTCATAAAGCTGAGACAACAGAGTGGCTTAAGTCTCAATACCCGGTACGTCCGGAAACTACATAGTCCTACATAGGCGGCTCTTAATACATAGACGTTTAAAGAGGATCGTGAACGCATGATCAAGTTCGGGCCTCGGGTTAGGAAAATTGCCTACTTAGGCAAATACATAACTTCCCTATTTTTAGTTGTTTACGTTCGATCCGTTCTCATGTAGGTACTCGTCAAAGAATTAAACGCCGACTTAAAGTGTAAAGGCCTACGGGGGGAAGATACGAGCATTCGTTTGTCGAAACGGCTAAATGAAATTGGCTTACGGATTAACGTTGTGCGGCGGCGGCGGCGTAAGACTTGGAGGCGACAAATTGCATGATATGCTTAAAGTGCAGCGTTGAAGACGAAGACTTCCAATATAAATGGAGGGAATAGAGGGTCACGCGAAACTATTGCGCCGTCTAGAATAAACGAACCAGTTAAAAGCGACCTCGTTGAGATATAACTTGGCAATATCAATATCCGAACTAGAGGCGCTTAATAAATCAGCTTAGGACGTCGAGTCTTGCCGGGGCGCTTACGATGGATTGGATCAATTAAATTATGAGATAGCAAAATGTTATCTACGAGTTGAGAATGGCCTATTCTTAGCTTTGAACTCTTTCTACACTTTATTACGCGTATGTGTAAGTACATGCAGTGTAGCATACTTGCAGGAAGTGTCAATATAGAGAATATGATGGGCTGGTCTGATATGTAGGGGTATGAGCGGTGAATAAGTGAGTCGTGTCACCTTATCAGATCCTTTAGTGTCCAATGTACTCTTATAACATCTTTCATGTTCTGAACGCCAACGTTGACTGGCATAGGAAATAAGCATTTGATAGATCAACTACTATGTATGTTCTGCGTGATGATGCTCGCCCTGCGCAGTAGCGAGGGGCAAGGAGGGCGAGCGGGGGGCTTCTAAACTTAACCATTTCCGTCAAAGCAAGAGTCTGCGAAGCCAATCACGACACCCGAAAGCTCTTTAGCTTGTCTCAGTTGGAATAATCCAAGAGGGCTCGTAGGGCTGAGAAAGGGACTTCGCAAGCTGTAAATCTACATGTGGTACTATGTACGTAGACTTATTGATCGTCCCGAGATTCTACTGGAGAATAATCCTGATCTCATGTCAGTCAAAATATTATATCGAAAAGCCACAATCCCGTATACCTACCTGTCTAGATAACGACGGAAGCTGATAGCAAACGACTTTCTAATTTCCTTTATCTTTGCCGCGTCGACTCAGAAAACTTATGCGCGCCTCCTGCAGATATATGTACCGCTATCAACTCTGCAAGCGTTCTGCGTGTTACACATTTTAGCTGGTGTACTTTGATTTGCCAACTCGTATTGCGTCAAGTTGATGTACCCGGCATTGGAGAAAAAACGCCTCTTGTCAACGCTGTTATGTAGAACTGGGTCATCATATTAAGTCCGGCGGTCTAGAATATTGGGCTGGTACGAGTCATATTCGTATAAGTCGTGCGCGCATGTAAGTCATGTCTGGTCATAGGATCTCACGTTCGATCTCGGGCTTTGGGTCTAGGAGGGCAGGAGTTGCTGTATGTACATGCTTCGTCTCGTCGCGCTGCAAACAATGTTATCGTTTACATACACTATTCAGGCGTTAAAAAGTGGACTCTATGAGAGTTACCGAGGGATTCCCTGTTGTAGCGTTCGGTAATTTTACTAGTGTCAAGCACAAGACAGAGGTAATGGGTCTTGTCGTGATCGTATTGTCTATCGACTATCCATTCCCATATTGTACCAAGAACGAACGAGCAAATGCGCTTGCTGTTGGCGGGACTAATTGGCTAGCATAACAGCTTTCATTAGCGATCGTAATATTGATATTACATAGCTACATTGGGATTCGGTCTGTCTTGTTTGTCTTAGTTATATGTCTATATAAGGCTTTATAAGGCTGAAAGTCCCCATCTTAACTATCAACTTTCTGGATGATGAGGCTCAATTTGGGAATTATGGCCGGCCGTTGCTAGCGTATTCGCCGGCAGCAGGTGAACGTGGGACTATGCTGAATCCGTGCGAAATTATCATGGTCGGACCGAAGACCGCCTCCTGACAAGTCTATATCCGATTTGATATAGTTTACGGAGGTCAGAAGAGACCGAGCGCGAGGTAAGAGAAGCCAAGACGTAATTAAGGGAGTGAGGGTCGAAGTACTGAGTATATGCCATGGTATTGTACATAAAGCAATCGTTCGATGATCATCGCATTACTATGTTCTCCGTAACGAAACAGCCGTGTAAGTCGATGGAGTACATTTGTCATTTTAACATCTAGTATATACGTCCATAATATAGCATGCCTATCTCTTACACTACGTACATAGATGCACACCTATTAGATTAGGTACGCAATAGTGTGGCAGGAGAACAGTATTGTCGGGGGAACTTCATTCTTGGACGCATCGCCAAAAGGTGTGCAAGCAGCGTCATTTTTCTTCTTAAAATGGATATCGGCTACGTAGTACTGCGAGGCGGGTGTCATGCAGCGGGTACACCCACCTCCCACCTCTTTCGCCTTTGGTAATTTTTGCTGAAGAAGGGTTGTTGGTGGTATATTTAATTCCCAGGGAAGTATGTAAAGGGGGCTTTCGAATACTACATAAATACATAACATAATACATAGTATTAAACTATATCAACATAGGAAAATACTATATTGTAAGGTAGACGTACCTGACAACCTACCTAACCTAAGTACATTGTGATAAAGTATACTTAAACCAACATACATGCATGCAAACTACCTACCTACTTGCGCCTCTTCATACGACTGGGTTACATACGCATATAATGTATCCTACTTAGTAACTAACGTATACCCCAACTCTCTAGATCCAGCCTTTTTTCAGCGGGATAAAAAAAAAACAAAAAATAAAAAAGAGAGGCAGGCTGTAGCCCGTAGGTAAAGTAGTGCAGCCCTGTGCCGACTAGGAGTGGCATCAATCCCACCACCCACAATGTACTTTGTACTTGTACACTGGGTACGACAGGAAGACGACGAGGGAATGAAAAAAGTTTTTTTGATGCACGCCCTGAGAGTTATTCCCCACCCCTGGTACGTAACCATTTCCCTTTCTCTTTTTCAATACTTCGTACACCCCCCTGACGTTCCCTGGTCCAGTAAGAGACCCACTAGTAGTACAACGGGCAAGGTACCTTTATAACCAGCCCTAGCACGATACTAGGATACCTGGAAGACCCACTTCCATGAACCACCCTGTAAGGCGCTAGCGGACATCCCTGTACTTGAAGGGCTGAAATACTGGGACCCACCCCACGGACTAGGTAAGTAGACTGGTAGGGCTTTTCCTATGTTGCGGGTTAGTCCTTCTCGAATCTAGTTTTAATATGCACCTAAGTCGCCCCTCTTCACTTTCTGGTAACCCTTTCATACATGTAGAGAGAGTGAGAGAGAGAGAGATAGAAAAAATAAGAAAAAGGTTGTGGATGGATTCTTGCGAGTGTTAGGCCGAAACTTTTCTACATCAACTCACCTCGTCGTCTCTCTATTCGGTCCCTATCCGCTCCTAGAAACACGTCTTCTCCTCGCCCACCCCTATGCGATTCTTATAGTCGCCCGAACTCTGCGTATAGTCATCGTAGGGAGTACCAAAAGAGCAAGGGGCCAAATCTGAAATTTGGATCCATTGGTCAACATTGGTCAAGCAAAAAAGCTCCTTCGACAGAAACGATTTACTAGCCCAACTCTACTAGTATCCAGCTATATCCAGCTATATCCTCTCTTGTCATCCACCTCGGGTTATAGCTGAGCTGAGCCGAGCTTCATGACAAGAACAATAATCTCCTCCCCCGATTCGAACCTCGGACTATTTTTTCTAGAGGCTTAACTTTTGTATTTGCTTCGGTTTTCTTTTCCATTGGGCCTATCTCGGTGTATTACCATCGTGTTATTATATCTGCATGTTTACTACTATCATGACGCTTTACGTTTTCCTGCTATCTTAGAATACCCTCGCACGATCATCTGCTTCTGAAGTACGACTCTCCGACAACACATATTTCGCAACCTTTCACATAGACGACATCGGCACTGCCGACACCAATATTGCCACCGCCATCCATACGACATTCCCGCTTCTTGATTCAAGACTGCGCCATTGTCGGTTCCCATACACCGTCCTTTGCCAGCTCCATAAGCCCATCAGATGCTCTAACCCCATTCTCGGGCCGCTATTCGTTCGACTCGGCAAATTAGTATTCAGATTCCACATATCTTCAGCTACTCACTGTTACTACTAAGCTGTGGCAACTCTGTCATTGGCCTACGTCGAACAAAGTCAGCTTCGTTTGTTCGAGTCTTCGGAAGGGGGAACACAAAATGGACATCCCAAGATGCGCACCAAGGGAGCCGAGAGGCTCGCCGCCGGCCATATACATCGAGGGATCGAGCCACCTCGACCACTATGCAGGCTCGGGCCGGTCTCATATGCAATCGAGATTCCAATCCTCTCTAGCCTCTTCTACCCCTATGCCGATATCTAACAGCCGCCGTCTTGCTGAAGACGATGCACCGCCGCCACTACCTCCCCCGAAATACTTGCCTGGGCTCGGACAGCCGGCTCCTACTCGACACGACCGTATCCCTTCGATTGATTCCAATGCAAGCTGGGATAGTACTAGACAAGAGTCGGAGCAGGATCGGCCTCCGTATGGTAGATCTGACAACGATCGTGGGATAGGACGGTCTCATAGAGATGAAGGCTATCACAGTCTCAACTCCACCATCTCGTCGTTAGGGTAGGGATAATCTGTTAAATCTACGGCAATATGCCAGTCGGAACGAAGTGCTAACTGCTAGGCTTTCCTTCAGATCCCAGGACTCTCTCCCTAAGAAACTCTTCATGTCTCATGACCAATACCAATTTAATAGGCCGAATAGCAACGACTATGACAGCTCGTTGATTAAGAAGCTGGATTCGAGACGAACATTTGACAACAGGACTCCGCCTCGACGGTCTGCTCTCAGTGCTTCCGTGTCAAACTTGACTGCACACGAGCAGCGTCTGCACACTCAGCTAACACCCCTTTCTCTTCCTATTCGGCAGAGCAATAAGTTGCTTATCGATTCCCCCGGCCGTTATACGGATACTCCCCCGCAGTCTGCACTCTCCCCACGTGGGCCTTCGTTCTACGGGGCTTCGAGTAGTGAATATCGTTCGCCTATAGAACCTATGGATCTAGATCGATCGCCTTTTGCGCGAACGAGGAGGAATAATAGCGGTTCATTACCTGATGACGCAACGATATCCACGCACAGTAGCTACGACAATGCAGACGATAATGACTTTGCGATGGAGGATAGGTCGCAAACTGAGGACTACATGTTGCGGTCAGAGCACCAGGCCATTGGGCAGAAGAGACGGGCGTCTTCACCGCCTGGGGATGACGTTCCGATGCAAGGCATGTCCGGATTATGCGACCCATTACGACGTCGTGAGGGCGCATCCAGAGCATCACCGACACCGCGTCTCGCCGGCATCCCTCCCGGTTCTATACCTTCCGTTCCATCCACCACGCGAAGTGGATCTTTCGCTTCAAATGCCTCACTTACCACCAACCTGTCAAGTATTAATTCTTTTACTGGCAGATCACCTGGCGGCTTATCTAGTGGAGGACTTTCGCCCGTTGACGTCATCTCAAACTCGCCTTATAACATGCCGAATTCTCTCGGTCACTCGCCACGCGCTTCGCTTGCACGTGTCCCCCACCAGCGTAACCTTAGTAGTGAAACAAGACGCCTCGCATCGCCCCGTAAAGTGAGTGAAGTATCTAAAACCGGTATCTCAAAGATACCTGGTGGTTTCTTCATGTGCGAATGCTGTCCCAAAAAGCCAAAAAAGTTTGAGACGGCAGAAGAACTAAGGTAAGTGGTCATTCAACCCCTATTTAGGAGTTATACGCTACTTCTTATTTTTACGGATAATTGACTTTTTTTTTTTCCCTCTTTAGCACCCACGAGGCCGAAAAGCAATACGAATGTTCGTTTTGCGGCAATCGGTTCAAGAATAAGAACGAAGCAGAGCGCCATCAAAACAGCTTGCATGTAAGGCGACATAGTTGGTCGTGCTCTGCGTTGCTTCTTTCGCGGTACGACCGCGCGTTTCACGAGAGTACCAACCGACCTGGCGAAGCAGACACATGTGGTTACTGCGGAGAAGAATTTGAGCGCCACGGTGGTGTTGGGCGTCCACGACAGCCAACGGAGCAGGATTGGGATGAACGACTGAAACATCTTCAAGAGGTGCATAAATTCCGCGAATGCAACTCGAGCAAGAAATTTTACCGTGCAGACCATTTTCGACAGCATCTAAAGCACAGCCATGCGGGGACCAGTGGTAAATGGACTAATATGCTAGAAAATGCATGCATGCTCGATGAAGAGCCACCACAACCGTCAAGATGAGCGAATTGAACCGACCATCAGTGATGGGGTTGGGTAGCAATACTGCGCGGGGTTTTCGAAGGGGAAAAAAGAATCAACAAGCTGTGGATGTGAATTACTCGGGTTTCGTTGGTTGGGGGGTTAATGTGTCCATCGACGCACAGCAACCGGCCTACAATTGGGCGGTGGGATGAAAGGGATCAGTCGAATCAAGAGTAATCAATCAAATCAATCAATCAATCGTGTGCGGTTGCGCCCTCGGAGTCTTACCTCATCTAGGAGCAGGCTGGTTTGCTTTGCCGATCTCCCGCCCGTTGGATGCACGCTCGCGGAGATAAATTAAATGGTCGGTTGCGGCACGATTATCAAGTCGATGCCCTTTATACAACAGGCCTAAACCGGAAAGTAAAATCTTGGCTCTAGCAGCAAATATTCTATATTCTAGCCGGGGCGTCTAGGCGCCACTAAGGCGCATTAGGATATAGTAGAGTGGGATTCCACCTTGTCAATGGTTAATTTACGAGACGTAGATGCTCGCTGACGGCACCGTTCCATTCCAACGGGTATTTGTGGCTCAATAGAGCTTATGGAGGTGCGGCTCGTCAACGTTGATCTAAACCCATCAACAGTTGAGTGTTTATAGGTAGCGATAAAATTCGGACAGGAATGAATTGACGACTCATTGGGCAACCAAAATACAGACCCATCTATTATTCACATTGTATAACATACCCAAAGCACACCTAGGCGTTCAAGAGGACAAAGGTGATACCCATGTCTTTCAAGCGGGGACGTGTAAGCTGAATGCATATAAGTGCTGACTGCGACTCGAGTTCTTTACTCATCTCGGACGTTCGTCTATTAAGCCATGGGAAGGATGCGTTATTATGTTTGAACGCCAAGCTCGCTTGGTTAAGACATTTCGGCTTGTCTATATTATTTTGGGGTAGGGTATTTTTGAAGAAGGGTTTTGGAGGAGGGCGGGGGAAGGGAATTGATGTTCTACGTATAAGACGTTCCATCGCGGGATTCGCTACGACCCTTGCGGGTATAGGATACCGCGGATGTTATGGTAAAAAATAGCAAAGGTTAATTAATTCTATTTATTCAATAGTAGCGTGAAGTCTACATACCTCATTTGAACTGAATAGAGGTTAAAAACAACTAACTCAATTATGACTATAAAGATTTAAGACCAAAATATTCAAAGACATAGCTAGGTAATGCAAAGTAAAGGAAATTTAATAATTAAGCAACCTTAGTTTTCGAATAAGTAGCTGCATAGTAATCGTAGAAGCAACATATTTTATTTTTTCTGCTCACTATAGCGGGAGGTAGTATTTGACTAATATGCTGGTATGTAGGTCTTTAAAGTCCCATGTCAATTGGATGGGAATTTGGAATCCCGAGTTACATTATTAATAGCTTACAACCTAGCAGCTAGCAGACTAGCGTCAAAAACGGCAATCAGCATGATCACATGATTCAGCCCTACCGGAAGGAAAGAAAAGTCTAAACCAAGGTTACCATTTGCATAGCCACTGACGCCACAAGTATGTATGTATCCCACACGAGGGGCTTAAGCTTAATTTGTACCTAATGTATGAAGGTACTCTGCTGTATGGACCCGTTTTTTGCCCGCGCAGATGCCCGCGGCACAAATACGGCATTCCGCAGAAATCCGTGTAACAGTTTGCCGCCCCTTTAGATACCTAGCCATATTTTTTTTAAGGAAACATACATTTTACCTTTCTTCTAATATAGACCGGGGTCCGTTATCACTTTTTGATAACCGATTCCTCATCCATTATTCCAGGCACCCGCGGAGAAATTGAAACCTAAAGAAAACATCATGTCAATTTCCAGGGTGCCCGGACCCGATAACCTCCACGTCGGAGGGTAAGTTTACATTACACCCTTACTCTTCCCCACGCCGCATATACACGGTCACTATAAGGATTGACTATTAACCCCAATATGAGCTGACATAAGCATCCAGGGTTTGGGCTCTGAATATCGAAGGGCATCGTGACAAGCTTTACGAACAGAATGTCACTCATGTGCTCTCTGTTATTAAGTTCTCATTTGACAAATGGGGTGAAGAGGCAAAGCGGTTTAAGCACATGAGCATCGATATTGATGATGACGAAGACTCAGATCTATTGGTTCATCTCTCATCTGCTGTACGCTTTATCCGTAATGGACTCTATCCGCCAGTCAGCGGCACCGATACAGATACATCGGCCGAGGCCAAAGATGACGGAAATTCCCCGGGCGGGGTATTCGTACACTGTGCGATGGGTGTATCACGCTCCGTAAGCTGTGTTATCGCCTATCTCCTCTACCAATACCCTCACCGCTTTGGAGGTAAGCAGTTTACTCCTTCAGTCGCTTCAGCAGCCCAGCGGCGGCAAACCTCCAAGGAGGCCGTAGAGAGAGCTTTGGAGTGGGTTCGTCAATCTCGCGAGCATGCCGGGCCCAATCGTGGGTTTATGCGCCAGCTCGAGCTCTGGTGGGAGATGGGATGTCCAGCTGATGATGACAGCGCTGTGGAGCGGCACCCCATCTATCAGAAATGGCTGTACGAGAGGATGTTGAAAGAATCTAGGGATGTACGTCAAGCTCCAGAGGCTGAACGCATCCGGTTCGAGGACGAGGTGGATCCAGGAAATGATGATATCGAAACCGGCGTAGACAAGAAAGTCGGCAAGGAGATCCGTTGCAAGAAGTGTAGACGCATTCTTGCGACACCAAAGTTTATCGTACCCCACGCCCCTACTGAGCGGCCAGAACCTTCAAACTGTGCTCACGTTTTCGTCGAGACGCTCTCCTGGATGCGGCCAGCGCTAGAAGACGGTGCGCTAGAGGGGCGTTTGTCTTGCCCAAACGCTAAGTGTGGCGCCACGGTTGGTCGTTTCGCCTGGCAAGGCCTGAAATGCAGCTGTAGCGAATGGATAGTCCCGGCCTTCTCGCTTAACCGAAGCCGAGTAGACGAGGTGGTTACCCGGGGCACAGATGCACCCGCGATCCGGCAACCTCCTGGTCGAAACGGGAACCTATAACATGGGTTTACTTTAGCAAGAGCCTCATTAATGCTTGTCATCCTTGCTTGCTTTCATAAGACTCCTACCCATATATCCACTAAGTAGTAAGCGGTCTGTTAGTATTGGTCGAGACAACGATTATGTTGGTTTCCCATAAGCGTCGTCTACATTACCTAGTAACTACCAGAAATTGTTGCTCTAAGCACGAGCCAACAGATGCTGACGCTCAACCACACACCTCTTAATGGGTATCTTACCTAACCCGCCGCTAATGAGCAACGGGGGCTGAACGTATTGTTTGACACCTCGTTTCCTCCATACACGCCTCTATTCACCAAATGCATTTCGCGAAATGTACCCCCAATCAGATATCACTTGTATTATAGGGCGCGTTGTTCAGCAGGTTGCTTTCCTTTGCGGCATAGTCAGATGCACGCCACTAACCCTACCGAATATACGCTTCAGGCATAGGGCTTACCCCTTTCTCAAGAGACCTGGGGTCATAACCTTGCTTACTGTCTGAACTCAAGGGCCCTCCCGTTTCCCCATGCTAGCCTACGATCTCGTTAAAATCCTCTATGTAAGACGGCCGTTACTAGCAACTAACCCCTAGTAGTCCTTCGCCCGAGAAATTCTCAACCTCATACTCCGTAGGCTTTCCGTAGGCTTTCGGAGTTTCGCAGCCGATTTACGAGGCTAACATTCCTAACTTCATCCCACTTCTCGTCAGCTAATCAAGTTGGGATTAGTCCACACCCCTTCAAAGCTTTATTTGGCTATGTGTAACCTCCCCGAGATGAGATTACCCAGATTGAGACTGTCAGCTTGTTCGCGACAGAACTGTCGGTGTAGATAGGCGGGATGCTTCAATTGCCGCTGTGCCTCATGCCAGCCCCTTACAGTAACACCGCATCACAAATCTCTCTTGTGACGCGGGGGCGTTCATCCCACGCAGCCATCGGTTCTTCCTGCTTTACATACAACGATGGGGGCCTCCATACTATGTAGATAATTTATACGTAGATCGAGGCGGAGAACTCTGCTGACGTCAAAACAAGCTGCAGCGTAACAAATTGGTAACTATATCAAAACCACATGTCTTGTTCACATTGCATTGGAATGACGTCTATTGGGTTAGAATACCGGTGGTACCTTTCCCATTGATAATCTGTACTGTTTGCTGGCTCTCTTCAATGCTTAACTTAACCCCTATCCATTATCTACAAATCCCACAATCATGAGGTTCCCCACGAAATTGATCGTGGCAGCTGATAACAACAAGGTCAGCTCTGCTGACGGAGCCGACTTTGTTACGTTATCGAATCAAGTCTATCAAAGGAGATTCTTCATACCTAAAATTACTTCCCTTTCCTAACGCCGGTCCTTGTGGTTAAAATCCGATTGTCATCGTTTTATCGCCATCGTAATCTCCTTTTTCCCTTTAGTCCCTCACTTCTTACGCTACGGCACTCCTTTCGATAGATGGAATAAGAAGCCCGTGCGTAGCACATTTTAATGATAGGTAATGGGAAGATTGAGAAATCACAAATTTTCCGGAGAAAGGAAAAAAAGAGAGAAGGAATATTGAATACCCCTGCTACTAGTGTACATAGATCTACAGATACGTACATGTACATACTAGTTGTATGCTATGGTCCTTGTTCCTCCATTCATGCAGGAACGGCGAGGGGTGACAGGTCAGTGCTACGAACAAGGAGGCGGCGTGCGCTTCCGATACCATTAAGCTCCCCTAGTCCGACCGGCCTGGCGGGTGGTCGAAAATGATAATAACAATAATAACAATAAGATGTACTGTTTGCGTACGTGCGGTGGTTAGGAGATAATAGCCCCAATGATAATCAAACACTCTGATCGCTTCGGACTTAAGCCAGTGAACGATAGAGGTATAAGCTAGCAAAGACGGGCAAATGCCCGCGTCTTACGACGCCCGCACTTCCCCCCGAAATGAAGGTTCTCACGGTTCGGCCGCAAAACGCTTGTTACCTAGCCTAGTCCCCTTGTAAGCCGCTCGCAGGACACATGTACATAGACGAGGATCTATGTAAGGGTTTAAGCGCGTAACGTGCAATGACGCGCAGGCTGTATGTACATATGTACGCGCGTGGACGTATGTAGGCGCATATTATACCCGTAAGGGGCAAGCAGAACAGCCGTAAGCGTGCTATGTATGTGACGGCCGTCGTATGTTCTCTTAAGACGGTGGTTCGTCGCTATACCTACTCAATTTCCGCATGCGAAAAGGCGCCGGCGTGTTATACATAGCCCCCATCATCGTCGTCGCCTCGTCGTCATCTAGTAACTACGAAAAATACAGCCTGATTAGGCTAGATTCTACATGCCAAGACATCTATACATACTGAAGCTTTTTTTCGACATATAGCATTACTATATATGTGCGTACGTGGAATCACGGAACGATTGGGTATGGGGTGTGGAGTTTGGGCTTTCTGGTCGCAGGGGCGGGCCTTGTCTTCCTCGTGACTATGTTGCAGTGTGGGATTCCCTATCAGGGAGGAAACAAGGGTGGCACAGTCGCTCACGGCTATGTAGGGCTGTTCGATGTTCAACGATCCCGGGGAGATTAGCCCGCGCGGCCGGAAGTTGACCGGTCAGACTCCGGCCGCTGCAGTCAGCAAAATGCGTATCGATACCCGTGAAGTAGCACAGCAGAAGCCACGGGCTGGGAGATACGATACGGTTTATCGTACGGAATCAGCCGCGCACGAATACCTACCTACCCTACCCGGGGTTCGAGTGGACGAGAGATATGGCTGTTGGGAAATCGGAAGGATCCGACTATGCAGCAGGCGTCGTAAGGGGGGCGGTCAAACCGGGAAAACCCACTCACGAGAACCGTTTAAGGATCTGTGTCCCCGTGATGGACCCCCAGAATCAGATTGTCAGATAGTCGGGCATTAAAGCTGATGTTTTCAGGCGATCCATCGGCAATGAGAAGTACGTAAAGTTGGGGGTCAGATGCAAGCAGGTATCACGCTCTTTTGCTCGAGAGACCCCTCTTGCTCATATCGTCATCGGTAAGGCCATGTAATATTTAGTTTCACCCCGGTTACTAGCCTTGGGTGATCCACGATACTTGGAGGAGGTGATGTTAGTTAGTTTAGCGATCGAGCGCCTGTTCTTCAGTAGTTACCTACCTACAAGAGACCCAATGAGATGGTTACTACCTCTCTCAATAAGTCATCCTTCATTCCCATCAAACTGCTCGTCGCAAGTGGTCCTGCGGCGTATTTGGAGAAACGTAACTAGCAAAAAAAAAGAAAGATATTAGGTCCGAAAGGCCACCGACAAGAATTCGACCGAGCCGACCAAGTTGATGTGATGGTAGTAGCCTCGTCGTCTCGGCTGTACTTTCTTGGCCAAGGGCCCCTTCGGTGTGACAAACGACGGTCGAGTAACGTATCTACCTAGGTAGTAAGCTCGAACTGATCGTTGCTCTTGAGCACATGATGATTTCATTGGCCCGGTTAGCATTCTCAGGATCTTGAAAGATCTGACTTTGGGGGCGCACCTGTACGTTAAGTCCGAAATTTGAACACTATGACGAAACTAGGTACCTTAAAGTGTAAGCCGCGCTATGTATGTAACATAGGTAGTATGTCTGTATATGTCTTCCCCTTATGTAGGTCGGTGGGCGTGCCGAGCGATGGGCTGCGAGATCATGTTGCAGTACCAGTTGCCATTGAAAATATTATGGGGATGGATCCCCATGTCTCAGAGGGGATACTCGGTCGTCCCGAGTTTTGGCAGGTTGCTTCCTTTTGCATATTGTCTTCATCATGTACGGGCAAACCGTGGAGTGATTCCTATTCGTGTAGTACAGCGTAAGGATTGCGGCTGGGGGTTATGTACATGATTTATGTACGTGATTCAGAATTCACAAATGATAATGCTAAGAATCACATTACATAAACCCTCTCGAGCTTTGCGGGTTATAGCTTAAGTTGTGCTACCTTACCTACCTTATCGCCGCTTCGCCGTTGACAAGTCGAGCCTGGGCTCGGCGTTAAGGGGCGACTATTCCTGTTTTAAGACTACGGGTGGGTAGATATAGCTTCAAAGCGGGAATGAGCCGCCATACGTTTGAAGCCGTAAAGACATGCGGTAAGATCCGCTAGATGGTATGTGATCAACATCCGAAAGTACAAAATATTTATGGAAAGTTACGTATGTATAAGTCAAAGTGATTGATCTGAAACTATAACCGACGGGTCCAGCCATCCCATTAGGCCATAGGGCTAGGCGCCAGCCCTATGCAACCCAAATTCGGCTCGGCGCGGCGGCAGAACCAGCCATTATCATAAAAGGGTACGAGGATACGAAAGACCCAAGATAAGATTGCTTGTTTACAGTACTTGGGCGTATTAATGCTTGGTAACCTTTTATAAATGTGATAGATATTTTATGTAACAAACCAGCATACAGCTCAGCCCTGCGAGTCCTGCTTTGATGCTTAAAATAACCGGTTTAATTTATTTGCAGGAGCAACGGAAGGAGCCGAATACACGGATTCGGTTCTCGTGTAACATGAAGTGCGGATCCGAAAAGCGGAGCATATCCCGGGACTTAACGCCCGTTCAAGTAATATCTCGGAATGCCCGCACTGTAGTAACCTGTCGATCAAGGATATGTCTGTAAATTGTGACCTTTTTTTAATCATACCACCAGGAGTGGTGCTAGAGCATACCCGTAAACGATCTAAGAATTGACTGGGTTTCATAACGGGCCGTTAACAAGGGTAGATCTCGATTTTACAGAGTATACTCTATGTTCAAAGCTTGGTGTGACGATCCTATAAACCGGCATCGGTGACTATTAAAGGAGGCTTCGACTTAACGGAGGTAGCTGAATTAGAGTTGTATATGTAAGAGCTTAATAACCTCCTATACGTAATAGCATCGACATCCACGGTTAGTAAGTTTTGTCGTTATGTAAATCTGAACCATGTGTTTAACTTGCCTTGTTTTATGTCAAGCTATTCTGCACGGTTCCCGTGTTGAGATTAAACCGTGTAAGTACATTGGACAGCTCGTAATCAGCAGCCATAGCCAACTGCAGCTCGAGGTATACAGCTTATACCTACTTGGTAAATCCTTGTTCGATGGGGTGTTAATAGCAATAGCGTGGGCGAATTATTTGAACGGATTATATGAAGGATCGGAGGGGGTGTATACTACCTTAATCTAGAATGTCAGCGCTAACGTGCATTTACATGTTAGACGGCCCCGCGTAAGTGGGCAATAGGATGGCCCGGTTAACTAGCCGAACCGAAGGCATTCGTACAGACGAGTATTCTTTCGAGGTTAGAGAAATAGACGAAATGACCAAGAAGAGTAATATAGGCCATGTAATGAGCCTGGGGTACAGGCTTATACACCGATCTGCGGCATCCGGCAATGGACTTTTGACGTATCTGTCAGTCTGAGTGATGTTATGCAGGGAACTGATCTTTAGTAAGTAGCCTTACGTACGGGAGCTGCTTATGTCAGAGTCATGGCCGTAATCATGGTAGATATTCACCCTAATTATCTAGGTACCTGATAGCTCGATCTGATGAGAGGTCCAGAGGTAATTGACAAGATGACTATGACAAAGCGAAGAATGAAACCTATAAGCTGCGTGTCACTTAGGCCTCTCTCCGGTTACACAAAGACAACTCGTGGCCGATCGCCGTAATAGATCCGGGCGCCCACGACGTGGTATCTAAAGATTGATAACGGTCGAGCAATATCGAAATACCCCACCAATTCATACTGCCCATCATAAGGCTGACGCAGAATTATGCTCTCGTATCATTTGCTTAGGAAGAGTCCGAGTATGGCCGAAGTACATCAGTTTGCGAGCTTGGGACCTTGCTGCATGTTGAATGTTACCTCTCCTACAACCACAGAGCTTCTTGAAGCGTCGCGGGTATGTCCAGTTCAGCTGCAGAAATACAGTGACCCCCCTTCTCGTCACACGCAGACACACGTAGACACACGCAGACTATGCGCTGAAGCCATTCTGGAAGGAGGACTACAGTCCTCCAGATGTAAGTACAGCTAATATATGCCTCGTGACCTTGCTAGAAAAGTAACCGGTTGCATTAATGGTGCATCGGCTCACCAAAACGCGGGAGATGCCCAGTAGATCAACCCACATTCGGGCATTAGGTGCCACGGCGTTTTCACTGCCTCATCGCTTAGAAAGTATCATCAGACCTGGTGTCGTGCGTTGTCGATGCAATGTAAGCGCTAATCTTCTTGCAGGGCCTACAGAGAGTAACGAGGTTGTTGGCTTCAGTGGGGAGATTTCCAATGATTCATGCAGCTTTCAAAATGTTCTGCCAACAGTATAAGGTACCGGTGGGGTAAAAACTCTTTAAGAACTCTTAAGAACTAAGCCTGCTGGACACTTACATTGGCCTTTAAACCCGAGTAAAAAAGTCGGATAGTATTAGACGTCATATTTAGGCCAAGTTTGCTGGAAGAGAGGTAGTGTCAGCCTTATAAGGCAGATAATCCAACAACTTATCAGCTTTCCAATAAATTTACCCCGTGCTGCGGTGAGCAAGCTATCCGGGCAAGCTAAACGGAACTAGGCAAATATGGCATAGCTAATTGACTGGTGTGTCCCTGGGGGTGAAGAATGGCGTGCTTATAGAAAGTAGCATGCTTTACCGCAGTAGTTTGTTGGCCCAAGATACGACGCCCTAGCTTACCACACCGATTGAGCGAATACTCGATTAACATGAACCTGAGTACTAGGAACCTTGAGGGTACTTTGGTCGAATATTGTATCTAGCTCCGTAGCAACTAGGACATGAACTCAATGAACATTGCTAATATATCGAGCATGGAGGGGTAGCCATTTTAAGAGCTGCTGCTCCTTTACGTAATTCATAAAGCCCTCATTACCCGATATGCCCATAGGCGCAGCAAGGGCAAGGGCTAGGATCGTTGTTGAGATCCAACAAGCCCGGTCAGTTTTGGTATACTAACCTATTTACTGAGTCGATGTCCTCTTTGTAGATGAAGGTCACCTCACAAGGGGTCTTTGGGGACGGAGGGAAAGTAGTTGGGATTGCTTAGACGTTCTCGGTTCCTTTTGGCCACCTCAGCCGCGCGTTTTCTGTCCAGTCGTTGTTGGTAGAAGGTCCTGCATGTCATCAGTATTGACAGCCAGTGGTTGAGCAGAGGGATAACTAAAGACTTTTGCAATGAAAATACCCGGGGTTCTTCTTCTGCTTTTAATGGAGTCTTTTCATCCGGTTTGTCCTATATCCGTGAGTTAATATGGTTTTAAGGCGTAAATAGGAAACTGACCTTGGCTTGAGGGCTTGGCTCATCTTTCTTCTCAGTCTCTTTAGTTCCCTTCTCTTCGTTTTCCTTCTTGGATTTTTCCGACTCCTTCTCCTTTTTCTTGCGTTGCTTCTCCTCGTACTCTTTCTTCACCCGTTCAATTTCATCTTCCATCTCCTTTTTCTTCTTGGCTGCGATGGCATCATGATCAATGATAGGGGAGCAGAATCCTCTATCTTTCAAATGACCAGGGCAGACATAAAAGAAATCCTAGTAGCAGAACATCAGGGAAAGGCGTTTGTAGCGTTATGAACGGCAACCTACCTTATTGTCTGGGGTTATGAGCACGCTAGTACTAGGCTTGAAGCACACCTCACATGCTTTGGCTGAGGTTTCAGCTACCTTTCTATGATTCCAAATATTTGGGAAAGACATGATTGTATTTGCTTTAAGGGGAGATAGGTACACAGAAGAAGTATGTAATAGGTAACTAGTAATAGGTAATGTGCAAGCTTGATGATAAGACAAAGGAAGCTGGATGCGCGGCGCGATGTTGGAGAGATAACCATATTATGTGGGGTCGGAGAAGTACGTACAATCAGGTAGATGTCCTGTTACAAGTCGCGATAAGTTACGATAAGGTTGGTGCCTGAGCTGTAGATAGCTTTACCTACCTCGACACCTACAGTCAGACAGTACAGCCTTGTGAAAGTAAGGGAATCTTTTAGGGGGCCCCTGTACGTCATATGTTTCGCAATAACAAACTTTAGCGTAAAACAATTCGCCAACTCTAAAAAAATAACATTAAATATTACGAACGTCAACTTTTGTAGAATAAACAAGAGCCTTGCAACCTCTTACGACTTATTCCTTATTCCATCCTCCTTGGTATCGCGCATAGGGGTAATCACCCCAACCAGTCTCTTTTGACATCATGTCTAATGGATTGGAAATCCAGAAGCTGGACTCCGTATTCAAGTCGCGACCAGACATTCTACAAGACATCCACAAGGCTGCCGGTATTTCTTAGTCATTTCGCGTCTCATATTATTTCTACTTTTTCTAACTAAATTATATAGATTCTCCATCTCGAGTCGAATTATTTAACAAAATTGCAAATTTCATATATGAACAAACAGGCGATCATACAGCTGGCTCATCCCTAAAGCGGCGTCGCGTCGATATCGAGCCCTCCCACAATGGGAATATACCGCCTGCCACAGAGACGAGCACGGTCGAAGACATTTCAAGCGAGAATATCCTGTTGGAAATAAAAGATATATCTGTATCTATTCCGCAGCGCAAGAAGTTCGAATTATGCTTCACACCCAAACACCTATATGCCCGAATTCCTGGTGCAACTACGCCTGCGCCTGGAATAGCATATGCATGGAAAGATATTGGTATGCATCATATCTTATAACCATCTAATATCAATACTAATTGCTATTATTTAGAGTATGCTTTCTACCTTCCCGTGCCCGAGAAGTCTCAGATTCAGCACAACTATGTCTTATTCCCACGAAACGCTTTTTCCCTTTCTAAATCAGGCGCACCGACCGAAGATCCGCTACTATTTACCGTCTCAGCTAGTCCACCAAAACCAGGTTCAATTGGTGGACCTAATGCCGGTGCAGCTTCTGCCGTTTCTGACTCCTATACCACCCTATTCAACTGGGCCCTGAATAAATGTCTTCAGGCTGCCGGAAACAATGTGCAAATAGTTGCAGCAGATCCCGCAAAATTTCATAGTAAAGTTCGACAACCACATCGACCAAAGGAAGCAGCTGTTCACGTCAAGGCATTCAGGGGCTCAAAGGATGGTTACCTGTTCTTCCTAGAAAATGGGATCTTATGGGGCTTCAAGAAGCCGCTGTTGTTCATACCATTGGACAAAATTGCAGCCATTAGCTACACAAGCGTATTGCAGCGCACATTTAATATGGTAGTTGAAGTGTTCACAGGCGAAAATGGTGACGAGACAACCGAGGAGATAGAATTCTCGATGCTAGATCAGGAGGACTATGGAGGTATCAACCAAGACTATGTCATGCGACACAGGCTTCAGGATCGAAGCATGGCCGATCAACGGAAGGCCAAGAGGGAACTGGCAGAAAATGCCAAGGGAAAGAAAGAAGTTGAAGGCGAAGGAAAAGATGCCGATGGACAGGCTGCGGAAGATGGCATGACAGAACTGGAAAGGGCACAGATGGAGGCCGAGCAGCAACTACAGGATGAAGAAGATGAAGACGAAGAAGACTATGACCCCGGGTCTGAGGGCGAGAGTGAGGGTTCGGGAACAAGTTCCGAAGAGGACGATGACGACGAAGACGTTGCAGAGGACGATGAGATGGAGGAAGACGAAGAACTAGGGGAGGGGGAGTAATGGCTTGATACATAATGGTAATGATGAGAAACCGCAGTCTGTTGTTCCAGCAAGGCTTCGGCATAGATGAGCCCAGAAATGCGACGGCTCCAACCCTAAATATCACGTTTTAGTAGCTATCGCGTGGGTTAACTATCGGCAGATCCGTCAAGGCCTTTATCGGTACAGCCAGCCTACTTGAATCGCTCCCAACGGCCCCTACTAGAGCTTTCACTGAGTTAATAGGATCTAGTAGGCCAATCCTCGTTACTCGATCATGACACGAAATACTGGCTAATTATAATAAAGCAAGAGTGTATGCTCAATTTGGCTGTGCTGGCTACCTAAACTATGAGATAGCATGGGTCCAAGCTACCGGGTTTATTTTAAGGGTACAGTGTCCTGTAGATGTTGCGCCGGGATATTTGCAAGTGCTATGTTTCGGGTTCCTGCAACTTGCAAATTTCCGATGAGGTCCCTAATCTGCTGGCTCTCGTCGGCGGTGAGCTTGACGTCTAATGCGCCAAGGTTCTGCTCGAGATACTTGATATTCCTGGTTCCTGGAATAGGGAAGAAATCATCTCCTTGAGCCATAATCCACGCCAGCACCAACTGGCTTGGCGTGTGACCTTTCTTCTCCGCGAAGGCTTCGAACTTCTTGACCAAGTCCAGGTTCTTCGGGAAGTTCTCTGGGCTAAATCTTGGAAACCACCTGCGGGAATCATTTGGATCGAAATCGTCTCGAGACTTGTAGCGCCCGGTCAAGAAACCGCGACCAAGGGGCGAGTAGGCGACGATGGCAACCCCTAACTCTCGGCAAGTAGCAAGCAAGTTGGTCCCCTCCTCGCTTTCGATATCGAGCGACCAGGGGTTGTATTCAACCTCCACAGCCGAGATTGGGTGCACAGCGTGAGCACGCCGGAGTGTACTGGAGGAACACTCAGACAAGCCGAGATATTTAATTTTGCCTTCCCTGTTTCACGACATCAATAACCGTACTTGGTAGTTGGACAGCCTTGGATGCTTACTTCTTGAGCTTTGCCATAGCTTCTACGGACTTCTCAACGGGAGTTACGTCGTCGAAGCGGTGGCAATAAAACAAGTCTATGCTATCAACTCCTAGTCGTTTCAAAGAACGTTCGCAGCTTTTAATGCAGTTTTCGGGTGAACTGTTGACGGATATGACTGGGCTGGAGTCACCGCCAAACTCGAGTGCCCATTTAGTGGCCAAGAAGATGTCGCCTCGACGTTCTGGGTGCAGCTTAAACCATTTGCCCACGAGATCCTCGTTGTCGCCGTAGGCAAATGCGCTATCCCAAAATGTCTCTCCGAGCTCCCAGGCTCTGTTGAGAATTTTAAATCGCTCTTCATCAGGACTTTGCATATAGTTAGTCTATAAGCCAGTATAACCCTTGGATTACTTCAACGTACGCTATTTCGCCCATTCCAACACTAAGGCCCATCAAGCCGAACCCAAGCTTGGGAACATGAGGACCATTCTTGCCTAGTTGGCTAGTCGGAAGCGTTCGAGGAGGAGACATGGCGTGGGTAATGTCTAGGCTGAGATATTGCTTTCAAATTTCGCCCGAAGTCAAAGATTGAAGTTCTATATGCTGGAGGTTTGGTCTTCGTTACCCATCGAGGACACAGCTCGAGGAGGGAAGCAGGTATTTATATATAATACCCAGTCCTTAAAATGATAAAAAATACCCCTGGCTTCTATACTACGGTGGCATATTAGTTCAAATCCGATAAAACAAAAAAACGGATGAAAAATTGGTCCGATTTGGCATATGTATTATAATTACAGCGTTTACATGCGTTAAAGCCTTTTATAAATACAAGGCATTACAATGATGTATGCGTTAAAGTTATAACACTTAAAAAAGAAGTCTCCGAGGTTGAAAATAAGTGATCTCGATAAGCTTGAACCTGATTTCGAGGGGCGGGCGTTTCTACGTGTTCGCAGGCTCGTACATGGGATCTTTCCGAAGTCATGTGTGCGGCTTAAATCATGGCCCGTACCTATAGCCCGCAATGGCCGCAATGGCCCGCGACGGCCCGCAACAGCCCGCAATAGTCCGCCACCATACTCCGGGGATATTCACCAAGTAGAGTACCTAGGTATTTATAACATTTACGGCTCTTCAATGATATAAGTTTATGGCTCTTCCAGTAAGATGGTCGTTACTTAGTTTGGGGTCAACAATACGGCGCATAAACTCCGTAAAGGGGCTTATTTTGTTAGTCATGAAGCATTACTAATAAAAACTTTCTTCAAAATATGAAAACCTTACCTAAAGTTCAGAGTCTTCTTTTGACCTTATTGTTGCTATCACGTCGATTGATTCTATTTATTTATTCAATTGTTTCCTTATACATACCTTATATGATATAGTTCTTTTAATCTACCCCTCTTACTTGTTATTAGTTATGATACTACTTGATCGTGCACGTCATGACATTAACTCAACTACACACTAAGCAAGCTAGATTCCAATATTAGCACTTCAAATCAATATCTGTTTTGTGAGTTGTATAGTTAGAAAGAGTTTCTCAAACATTCCATCCCGAAGGTTCAAAAGCCATGATACAGGCAGGTAGGTAGGTAGTTAGGATAAGGTTACTTTCGACTCAACCGTGGGCTCATTTGCCGTACGTACAGTAGGTAATTCTGCGGAGAGTAGCGAGTGATTTCCTTTAATCAAATAAATTGTATTCGTGATTCAACAATTATAATTGGTCGGATATTCAAGCATAAATCAGGTGTTAGAAACTTGACGTAAGGGGTTATGCAAGAGGTGCATCGGGCTTGTCAACAACCGAGCCGCCAAGTTATTATGTTGTGCAATCGTATCGCGTATCCGTATTCGGTGCTGGGAGACATGATTGGCTTCCAAGTGAAGAATCTCGGAATAATGCTGCTATACTCCATTATTTATACTTTATTGCTCCATTGCTCCATATTAGTCATGCTAAGCGATGCTGTAGCGGGTAAACGTAGCAGTGTAGTAATAGTGATCGTGGAGAAAGCATGAACCTGGAAGGGTTAGTTTACCGGCCATGGGTCTCGCTACGGCATGCACCACGTGGAGACGTGAAACAGTAGTAAGATATATAGGAGATATGAGTGGCAACAGTTATGTTCTGGAACAAGATGTCCAGAATATAAAGTCGATTGCCTTTCAGTAGGTTGGCTTGCGACTTTTATGTCCTAAACATCATAACGACGGCCGCATTCGAAATGGAGGCCATTCAGCGTCTTCTACCCCAGGGACTGCCCGTGTCACTTCAAGTGGTCATTGCTACCCTGGCACTTGGCTTCATCTATTCGCTAGTCACCGCAGATCGACCTTTTGCTGGATTTCCGGTCATAACAGTTGATGGACAGAGTCCAACGAAGACTTGGCTATGGCACGGCAGGAAAGCTGTTGACGAAGGCGTAAAACGGGTACAGCTAGCTCCTTAAGGTATATCCCTGTCAAAAATATATCGCTAATTCATACGTATGTAGTTTTCCGGGCCATTCCAAGTCATGACAGGAACGGGCCCAAAGATTGTCTTGCCTAATAGATTCGCCGACGAACTTCGTAACCATCCTTCGTTGAACTTCAACAAGGCCTTTGCTAAAGTACCTATTCCATCAAATCTATGCTAGGAAATCTCGAAAATAACTAACAAGGCTAGGATTTTATGGTAAATTATCCAGGATTCGAAGCTCACCGGCTAGGTCTACGTGACGACACTCTGATTCAGGATACGGTACGGGTGAAGTTAACTCAATCACTCAACTTGATTACAGATGACTTGGTCGATGAAACAGCGGCATCACTCCACGATGTCTTCGGTGACAACAAGGAATGGACCACCAGGCTCATTCGAGATGATATTCTCGAAGTTGTCGCTCGACTTTCATCAAGGGTATTCTTAGGAAGAGAACTATGTCGGAATCGGAGATGGCTTGATATCTCCAAATCGTATACCATCGACTCATTTCTCGTCTCGCGTCTGATGAGAGCTGTTCCTTCGTTTCTACGTCCCATCGCTTATGTATTGATCCCGCAATCGAGATCTCTCCGCAACGCCGTTAGAGACGCGCGAAAGCTCATCAACCCCGAGGTACAACGCCGTAAAGCCGTCGTTGACGCAGCGCACGCGGCGGGCGAGAAGCCCCCGAAGGTGGCGGACACAATCGGATGGATGTATGAGGTTGCTAAAGGACGAGATGCCGACTACGTCGCAGGGCAGCTTTCGCTGACAATGGCTGCTATCCACACGACTACGGAGACGACTTGTTCGGCACTACTTGACATCTGCCAATACCCCGATGTGGCTCAGCAGCTCCGACAGGAGATCATCGAGGTCATTGGCGAGCACGGGTGGGCAAAAACTTCCCTGTACAAGCTTAAGCTTATGGATAGCTTCCTCAAGGAAGGCCAACGAGTCACTCCCATGGGCGCAAGTATGTTTCTTCCCATCCCTTTTTTTTTATTTAAGCTAAACAAAATAATCTAGCCACTATGCACCGATACGTAGAGAAGGACTTGGAACTCTCCGACGGAACCGTATTACCAAAGGGCGCGCGCATCGTAGTAGCAGGCAACTTCATGGATCCAGCGATTTACCCCGAGCCCGAGAAATTTGATGCCGCCCGGTTCTTAAAGATGAGGCAACAGCCCGGCCAAGAGAACAGTTGGCAATTTGTGACCACCAGTCCGGCCCACACTCTCTTCGGCCACGGACAGCACGCATGTCCTGGACGGTTTTTCGCGTCAAACGAAGTAAAGATTGCGCTATGCCATCTATTACTTAAATACGATTGGCGGTTCATTCCGGAGGAGGGTCGACCTGCCCCGCGAATCTTCGAAGGTGTCAACGCTGTTGACCAAAAGTCGAGGGTCCAAGTGCGACGGAGGCAAGCAGAGATTGATCTTGATGACTATTGAGGAGATTTTCTTGGAGAGTATCGCATTATTTCGAACATTTCTGTATTGCACATACCCGTGAAAATACCCATACATACCTACCTATATACCCAATTATTCTAGAACTGTAGTATATAATATTTGAAGAAGCATTATATACTATTAATCTCCTTAATCATATATAGCTCAAACTAGTTCTTCTGCTTTCTTCTGCCCGGCCTTCTGCTCGACTTCTTGCTCCATCCTGCGGACCTCTCCCTCACTGATACTTGGATTATCGCCAGTGCCCTCCCGCCCAGCGTCGCTCTCAGCAGCCTTGCGCCGTTCCTCTTCCTTCTTCTCTTGCTCTGCCAATTGACGTTCTTCACGCCCAATTTCCTGCAAGTCGATGTCTTCGAAGCCGATGCGCTTAAGGATCGGTGCTGTCGCATATCGGTACAACGTGTGGCCTTTGACTAGATCACCAACGTCAACGTTCTCGACGCCCCAGACATCGAGGACAGGATGTAGTCCGGCAACCCCGAATTGGATGCTGCTACTTCTGTACAAAAATGCGAGAATGTAGTCGTTCGCGCTGTACGCATTCACAACTCTTCCGGCTACGACAGAACGGATGCGGCGCCAATCGGCTGGACTGCTGGGAGTCGGCGCGCCCAACATTATGGCGTTCTCGACCAGACCGAAGGCCTTCCGCTTAGCAAGCTGCTGCAGACATACATATATAACCTTGGCGCCGAGGGAGTACCCGATAAGTGTGACAGGTCGCTCGCCTTGCGCTTTGTTGATAAGAGCATCGGCAAGGACTTCTCCAGCTTTTTGAGCACGCTGGTTAGCAACGCTCCAGGGGTTGTCAATAATACGACTAGCTTTCTATATTGATGTTAGCATCCTGTGACATGCCAATGAGTGCGTCACTAATACAAGCGGTTTAGGGGAGGCATCGTACGTACCACCAAGCCTAGCGGCCACAAGCCAGCGGACAATGCCGCAAAAACAGTGCGTTTAATGATCTGAGATTTCGCGTAGGACCAAGTCGCGGAAGTAACCAGGGTTGTAAGCGCGTTCCCCAGATTGATCAGGGCTTCCAGCTCGAAGCGGAGAGCAAACGGTTCTTGGCCTGGACCGATACATTTCCAGGGCGCGACCACTTCTTCTTTATCGTCCAGCCAGCCAGAAATACCAATGGCAATCCGCAACCGACGTGCTTCGATTTCGCTCTCTCCTGGTTTCCCGATAGGAACAAACGCAAAGTCTTCCACATCTCGAGTATATTGTTCCACTGTAACATCGAGTGAGTAAAGTACAAACCACTAGGTTAGAATTATCACAACGTAATATCGAGCCGTCAAGCTTATTCCCTAGACTTCTAACCCCCAAGAAGGCCTAAATCGAGAGTATGGCTTTCACATTGTGATAAAGGGGTTTACTTACTAGCTTTACTTGTCATCTTAGCGCCATAGGCCCCAAATAGACCGCCTACTAAAACGCCACTTCCAGCTAACGCTCCAAGATAACCCGCCGTAGCAGTAGCTCCAAGACCAATTCCACCTAAGACGGTGCCAACTCCAGCGGCTAAGAGAGGAGCAGCTAATCCACCGGTGATACCGATGAGGGCTGCGCCAGCGACCCCAGCTACGCCCATCTTCCATTTGCGAGCGGTGCGGTTCTCTTCGGCCCTCTTCTTCGTCTCCTCGTCAGCCGACATTTTCTCTGCCGCCGTAAGAAGCCCGCGAGCGACTTTCTTTTCGTCCTCTGAAAGCACCGTGGCAGAGAGACCGAGGCTGGTGGTTAGGTACAGCAATAGAACTCGCGAATAGGCGTTATAGTGCTCCAGGCTCAGGAGGAGTAGGAGTATTGAGTGAAGTATTAATATCCGCTTCTCCTTGGCCATTTTGCGCAACGCGGTTTCGACGGGAGGATACGTCTTCAATAATGCTTCGGCGATCGTATCCTCATGCTCTTCGGTCTCGATGCCCTCTAATGTCGGCTCAGTATCTGAGCCTGCGAGTTCTGGCTTGGCTTGCTTCGATTGTTTCTCAGCTGTTTTCCTAGAGTTAACAACTTCCCCGACACGGATCACAACGGTGTCTCTCCAATGATCAAAAAGCTCCAGCGCGTTTGTCTTGAGCGTAACAATTTTCTCTTCGCTGGCCTCCTTCTCACGCTTGGCTAGCTCTGCTTTTTGATTTTCTAGTGCCTTTTTTATTTCCTTCTCTCGTTCCTCATCGCTCAGCTTCTCGGGATTGACCGGTTCGTCGTTGTCGTTCGTCAGCGCAAAAAGGTAGTCTTCCCGAGAGCCCGTTTCTTTAGGATCAAAGGTGTCTATAAGGCGTTTGCGCATAAGTTCAGTGATGTCACAAACGAGAATTGTGAGTAAGCTACGGTCTTCATCCGTATCTAGAACGGTTTCAAGCGACTCGCCCTCTTCATCATGTTTCTTCGATTCATTTTCGTCGCCACCACCTAAGAAAGTACTGGCCTTCTGAAACATGGACGACATTTTTCGTACTTGATTACCATCAAGGCTTGCCGACAGGTAAATTTATTTTTACGCTTGAAATCAAATTCAAGGTAAGCAAACGTAGTTCTTGTTCCTCTGCCCAGTATTATATTAAAGGAATACGTCATCAATTTAGACTTAGCTTACAGCCAATATCCCTGTCAGTAAGTTTTGCCCTTAGCTTATAGCATTAGACTATCTTCGCTGAACATCACAGCCAGATTGGCTCTTGGTTAATTTTATAAGCGGAGGCTACCTGTCATGATTCTTCCATAGTAGAAATTTACATAGGTGATTCATTATATAGCTACAGAATGCAACGACTTGAGTAAACGCTATACATTCGGGTTTGTCGAAGACATTTATGCATATAAGCGCTAGCAACATTCCGATTAATGAATGCGCATACGAAACAACATCAAGGAGCAAAGTTGATAGTCTCAATATAGACGAATACGAAAGGGAAAAAATGATGAATTTCAGTGAATATCCCTAAATATATATCGGGTACCTAAATTACATAAACTACCATGTATGGCAGTTAAAAAAAATAGCCAGTAAATGCTAGAAACATGATTCCTTAAAAACAAGACTCTTAAAAACAACGAAGTCTATCGACTTGGCCCTGTTCTAAAAAAGCAATATATGAATATATGAGCTAAGCACATCCATTTATATCCCCAAAAAGTATCATCAGTGTCTAGCATTGCGCCTGAATAAACCTAAATCCATTAGTGAATATTTATTTCATATCTTGGGGCACTGGAGGTACTCACTTCGGATCTGATCTCTACGGCGTGGACGAGGCGCAGCAGGCCCATGCCCTGGAGCATTACGATTACGTCTGAGTCGCTGCAGAAGTCTTTCTCTAAGAGTATGCCTAGCCGCCGGCGCTGGCGCTTGGGGCAACGCGGGTCCCACGGGTGGCGGAGGCCCAGGCGGTGGTAGCCAGTCCACTACCCCCGGCGGCGGCGGGGGAATGCCACCTATGGCAAATCCAGGCACTCCTGCTGCTGCAGCCCCGGGTCCGTCAAACCCTGCAAACGGGTCTATGTTTTCTGCGTTTTCGTCGAATTCTTCGTCGTCATCGTCGTCGGGGTTTACAATCTCGGCGGCCTGGCCTTCTCCATGTACATTTGCTGGTGCTTCCCAAATTACGTTATGCGCCACGTTGCCCATGGGGACACCTCCATGTGGTGGCCCGGGAGGGTCGGCGGCGTTTGCACCCTCGCCTTCACCTTCGCCGCCTTGTGGATCTTCCCAGATCTCAACGTCCATGGGGTCGCCATCTTGAGGTGGTGGAACCGGAGGGCCGGGAGGTCCAAAGGGTCCAGGAGGGGCTGGAGGGAAGAACGGTCCAGCATGTCCCCCAGGTCCAGGAGGTCCAAAAGGCCCAGGGGGTCCCCCGAAAGGTCCAGGGGGGCCTGGGGGACCTGGGGGACCGGGAGGCCCGAAAGGTCCTGCAGGGCCCGGAGGGTGAGCCGGTCCTGGAGCGGGGGCTGGAGCCGGTGGATAGGGGTACGGGTCATGTGGGTCTCGAGGGGGGGCATTGTCGGGCTCAACAGCGTCGTAGATACTAATACGGCAGAAATACGTATGTTAGTAATCCAATACCTTATTCGTAGGGTACACACTCTTTTACCCAAGAGGTGTTTGGCTAAACCTGATGGCTATAAGAAAGACAGAGGGATGAGAGCCGCTTCACATACTAGAAAAAGGTTAGCTATGACGCTAGGATAATGGCAAAGGGGCGCCTAAGGAGTTAAGGCCAGGCCTATAGTGCAACCTGCTCTATCACATACCAATGTTCTAACCCAATTTTTAATTACCTCGTCACTCTCATCCTCATATACCCGTTGTGTGCCTTCCTTTGCCTGCGCTAGTAGAACATCTAGTGGTGGTCGCTCATCGGGATAGTGCCTCATGCATTGCATAATCGTAGTCCGGAAGTCTTCGTCTATATAACTGAACTCGGGGTCGTCCATGAGCAATACTGCGTAATGAAGGGGGTCATCTGGGCTCTGCTGAGGCGGGATCGGCGGGCGAGATGTTGTCATGAGCGTCCACATGGTCTACATAAAGGTCAGATCGCTTGTAACGCTCGCTACCCGTGTCCAGAGAGATCTTACCAAAGCAATTCCCCATACGTTCATCGGTGATCCGTAATTTCCAGCTACTCTTTGTTCCGAGACTTCCCAGCCCATCGTGCCTGTAACTTCTAGGTAATCCCACTCGCTTCCAAATTGTTCAGGGGCGTAATAGCCGTATTTCCCGGTGAAGCGATGCCGAAGGTAGTATTGACTGTATTTGAATTATAAGACTGGAATATAGAATAAGGGCGGGAGTGTAGCTTACTTTCCCTTGTTACGCTTTATTTGCCTCATACGTCCAAAGTCCCCAAGCTAAGCTATAGTTAGCATGGGAGAAGGAGATAAATCAAAAACAATTGGACGACCAACTTACCTTAAGTCTAGGAATTATAGCATGCTCACCGTCTTCGGGATGTCTGTCTAGGCCATCGATGAAGACTTAAGAATTTTCACATTTAGTCTTGTCTCATAGTATAGAAAGATGGGAGAATGCCTCTCACTATTTTTTGCGTCGATATCAAAATGGACCAACCGCCTTCTAGCATATCTCTTAGCGGTAGGCGGGACCTCTTCGAAGAGCTCCTCTCCGACAGTTTTCCACCGATCAGGCCCCCCCTCGGGATCTGAACGATTATGTACCCTCTCCGAGTGCTCAAGCACTTTCGGAGCATGTCTGTCGTGTCGTCCAGGATGGAACATCCGCGGAGGAAACCTGTAGTAGTCCATTGAGTTAACACATTTTCCCGATGGGTCTAGTACCACCAAGTCTGGGAGAAAGGGATGAGGATTCTCTTTGGGACCGGGGACTCCTTACTCTAAGGCAACACACGCCCTAACCACTGAGAATAGCAATTAGCTAGGCCGTATAGAAATGGAGACGGGGGTGTAACTTACGACAAAGCCAAAATGACCAAAGAACACGGTTGGGAACTCTCTTCGTTTTCTTGTCAAATTTGGCCTTTTCAATCCTTTGGATGAGGTGTAGTAGGTCACCATTTTCCACAAACTCCATGATAACATAATCATGGCGGAAGATTGGATTATTTGGGTCATTTCCAACCCTATTACGAATCATATTATCAATCAATATATCTCGGTCCTGGATCCTTTCCATGTGCGTCTCACGTTTCACCCGCGCATCTTCAGGATCGTTTTCATGGGTGTCTCTCCGACTGTATTCATCAAGCAGGAAGGCATGCTGCTCGTCCGGGATTTCAACTTCGGAATCAGGTAGAGAGACATCGTCGTCGTCGTCGCTTGAATCGTACAGATCTATTGGATCGTATTCATAGGGCTGGTAGTCTGCCTGTAAGAATTCATTCCGAGGGAGCGCTTGGACGCAATGGGCCGCGCGGGCTACTTCCTGTTGGGTTGTTAGAAGATCTACAACAACGATTATCACCACTATATACCTTTAAAGCCCTCTCTTCGCGACGTATCTCCGGACCGAACCAACCCCGGCGACCAATCTTGAATACCAGTTCGTAAGGCGGACGTATGCTTCTGAACTTCAAAGCTATACCATTCCCACCGTAGCCTAGTACCTTTGCAAGTCTAAGATCATGTAGAGGACGTCTCTCAAAATATCTTTGAGCAGCCCGGCACCTTTCCCTTATTTCATTCCTATATGGCTCGTCCCATAAATCTGATGTTTGGAGCACGAACGGTGGCCACGTACTTTCCCAAGCGTCATGCTTGTTTGGAATCCGCTCCCAGTTCTTTTTTATGACATAATCTCGAGGATTTTGCTCTCCTGGTTTTGGAAACGGAGCTTCCGCCCACTCCTCTCTATCTATACGATAGTCTCTAAACCCCTTTATAAAGTGACCGCCCTCCTCTCGATATATTTTCCAGAGAGCATTTACAGCTCTATAGTGTTCCGAGAAATTTGTGGGGTTCCCATACATCTGGGCTTCCATCCACCCCGGCGCATCCTGCATCAATTCGTCCATTTTCGATATTATACTTCGCGTAAAATTTTGGAGCCGTACATTGGACAAGCGCTTCTAAAATTGAGACACGAGGATTCCATATTGCCTGTAGTCCGGAAATATGGCTAGGCAAATTTGAAAGACCATAATCACCATTGTGCTATTGTGCTGCTTGCAGTAATCAAATACACAAATTCCATTTAGTAGACAAAGAGACTGGACAGACGGAGAGGTTTGATTGGTAGGATATTCCTGCGCAAAGTACAGATCTAGGGAATATGAAAGAAATATACTTATGGAAGAAAGGATTTTGTAACGAGCTAAGCAACACCTCTGCAGTGGGCTCCTATATACAAGTGATCATCGTTTTGGATATCTGGCCTCCGTATATGCTTCTTGTGTGAAGTTTTTCGTTATTATTCACAGCATGTCATCTTAATTGATGGTACACTTCCGGCATGGGGAATCTATTAAAGTGCTTGTCGCCATACTATAGTTTTTAAAATGAAGTATCAATAGCCATTTTGCTATCGAGAATTAATAAAATATACTTACCATAGCGTAAATCAGGCAGTATGAACCACGAAGATTCTCTCAGGCAATATTCAACGAATCTCTCAAGTAATGTTTAAACTGTTAAACAAATAGGTCAAAATAGATCACAAAGCTACTGCATGCTCTCCATATGCGTCCAAAGCACCCTGCTATCCCTAGTCTACCCGAGCCCTAAGAATACAATAAACGCGTTTGTTTCTAGCCAACAGATACAAGATATATCTTGGTTAAATAAGCGCTTGTTATATCAGCGTGTTCGTTACTAGTTGCTTTCGTAGGGGAATAGAACGGGCTATAGGTATGAGAAAGCAGGTATAACAGGTCATAACTCCTTTTCACGACCCGACAGATATAATCCAACTACGGTACTGTATAGGGAGTATATTCTGATAACAATTAATCCCACATTTAAATATCTAGAATAAAACCACAGTGACAATAGTACCATAGTACCTAGGTGGATTTGCCTTCTATAAATAAAACATACTAAGGCAGTTTCCCAAGATTTAGCCTGGGACTGTGAGAACTCGTTGTCTTCGTACCATGGCTTCCGCATGCGGTTTGTTTCGAGGAGATTCTTGAATTCTACCCACCTGGCTTTATTATCAATAATACCTACCTGCTAAGATTCTCATAAGAGCTATAATATATATTATTTAATAACCCCTAAATATAATGAACTGTAGGTGTCCACTCAGTCACTGCATACCTCGTTCTAGGTGCTTAACTAAATACCTAACCTTGATACGTAAAGGGTGTTATAGGCACATCCAAAATCCGGATGTTAAGGATATTGTGTGAATTCGATAGCCAACAAATTTATTTGGCGACTCGGTTTCTTCGTTAGGATTCTGTATACACTTGAATAATACCAATAATACTAATACGGGATAATAAACAACCGTATTTAGTCTTATGCATATTAAGTATGGGCATAGCCAAGAGAATTTATAGCTAATCACACATCTACTACCGTTTATATAGTGAAGTCAATTCTAATACATATCAAGGAGTGTGCTTATGCTCTACGTTATGGAGCGTGATCTAGATTGATGTATAATTTCTGAATTCACGTCGACGAACCTAAGATACTAAGAATATACATGTGCAGCATCTATTTATAAGCCATTCAACAATGCAAAGTGCAAAATCCAACCCTACTGTATTTCGGGGGTATTGGACGCCTTGTTAATCAAACTCCATATGCCGTAGAGTCGTGTCAGTGATGACGTATATCTAATAATGTCCGACCTTACCGCCCAACGCCAAGTCCATTGAAATAATTTTCCATCTGTACCACATCCATCCTCATGCGAGTCATTTCCCTTATTATATGGTGCATAGGAGAAACCGCAACTTATTTGAGCGGGCTGTTAATCGAAAACATCAGCGTCCCCGCCGTCCCAATCAGGATCTGAGTCTTCCGGCGAGTCCAAGAAGTCCTCCATGTCGAACTGTCTTTCCATGGGACGATGGTTATCAACTTGAATATCCACCACATCACAAAGACCATGAACGAATCCATCGTCCGATAAGTGTCTTGCAACCTTTCTCACCTTACGCTCTAGTTGACTCTGATCAGAATGGTCAGCAGCCAGTTCATCTTCGCTCTCTTCGTCGTCGGCGTCCCGTTCCTTGAGTAATAATCCACTCCCCTTGAGTCGTTTAAGTTCTCTGCTGATGGCCGAGGCTCTCGTAAGCTCGGCTTTACTAAGGTAATTCGGCTCCCCTTCTGACGAGGTCGGTGCCGGTGAAATGTTAGCTATTCGCGTGCTTCGTCGCTTTGGTAGTGCTGCAGGAGCCAAGCTCTTTGGTTTTAGCTCCTTCTGGTTCTGCCGTTGGGGCCTGGTCGGCGGTGGGCGGACTGCCTTGAAATCTTTAGGTGGCTTCATCTTCCTCTTGAAAACTCTCGCCATCTTATCGACCCAAAACTCTCGGAGTTCTTGGCGTTGGCGCCAACCTATGTCTAGTGCGATCCTCAGTGCAAGTCGGCGAAGGTGGGGGAGGTCTGACGCGCTCCGCACCAAGCTTTGAAAGAAGGTCTCTGCTGCCCTACGACCCCACTTTCGCATATGAAGGATTTCGATAGATTGTATTGAAGACGGCCATGTCGGCACATCATTCTCCGTAAGAAGAACATCGTATTCGGGTTTATTGTCAGCATAGTGCTCATGGTGTCGGAAATAAGACAAATCCATATAGAGGTGTTGTAGCCTCGGGCAAGCTGACTGCAGCGTAGGAAGAAAGGCTAAGCTCAATGATTGACAATGATTGATGGTAAGGCTTTGCAAGTGGCTCCCATGTGTAAGTAGAAAATCAACAAGATCATCCGCCGTCAACTCCCAGCAGTTGATAAGCTCAAGGTGTTTGAGGGAGGTAGGAAGTTGTTTTAGTAACAGGCCGTTAACCAATGTACAAGACTCCAAGATGAGATGCTCGAGGTTTGGCAAAGCCGAAATACAGGCGGAGAGTTGGGAAACTTTCCGATTATTTTGTCTCTCCATCTCTTCACTGGACTGCTGCCTAGCCGACAAACCCCAGGACGCAAGTTGATAGTTCACAAAGGCTACCTTTTGCAAGCTGGCAAAACTGGAGTTCAAATGAAATCCTGCCAGCTTATCCAGGGAGAGTGATTCGGAAGTGAGACGCGAATTCCAACGCCAGCTCTTCAATTGCGTGGGAGCAGTCGCATCATTGGCTCTGCGGCCTGCTAGAGTTTGCATCAGGTCATCTGCAGCACATTTAAATCGAACGTGCTCGTCTAGTTTACGATAAGGTGGCTCGTCGGATTCGTGATATAGTTCCATGCTTGACAGTCTTGGCAGATTCTGGACCACAGTCTGCAAGTTTAGATAGTTTGTGCCGTACCTTGGTGTCAAGGTTGATGCCACTTCCATCTGCAGAATCTCGACTTTGGGGCGGTAATTAACTATGGTGGTGTCGAGAGGCAAGTTTAAAGTGTCGATAAATTGGCTAAGAGAGGTTTGAGGAGCCTTGGTATATCGCCAGTGGTGGTAGAATGGAGGACACTTATATAAATTTGCCAAGGCAGGCTCGAGAAAAGTCTTACAAACCCGTGCGGCTGCCATCAAACTGCCGACCGCCTCAGAGACATCCTCGCGCCGTGATGAAAGGTCACGGATTGGCACGGCGACGTTGTCGAAGACACATAATAAGACATGATATGGGAGAGTCGCCCAAGGAGGGTGAGATGTATAAGTGTCGGAGGGAGCTATGGGTGAAGCCGTAGGTGTGACTTCATTTGAATCCGGAGTACTGGGCGTTATAACGTCGGGAGAGGCTTCTTTGATGACCTTGCGTGTTCGGCGCTGGATTTTTCTCGGGGATGGCGAGTAGTCATGGCGAGTGTTCTTTCGTTTTCGAGTGTTGGGGAATGTATGTTTGATCGGGGTATTACTACTTTCGAAGTCGTCGTCGTCGTCGTCGTCGTCAGCGTTGAAGTCGTTGTCGGATTCAGATAAAAGCGAGTTTGAACGGAAGTATGCGGCGGTTGATCTAGTTGTGCGGCGTGGTGGTGCCTTCAACTTGGCGGCGCGGGATGGATTACTCCGAAGAGACCGTCGAGGGCGATCCATTGTCGGAGTCGAGAGTCATTAGATTGCTTGAAGCGACAAGTGGGGACAAGGACAGTCGGCATAGGGGTTACAGTTCGATAGAGAGGTAGAGTGACATATGCTGCTGTATAGTAAGGTTGAATGCAATTTTTTGTAGGTGAATGTTCCGGTGTGAATTAACAATTGGATAACAATTGGAATGGGGAATGGGTTAGGTAAATCGGATTTGGTTTGTGTTTATGTATCCTGGGAAAGTACAACGTACGAGGTACGGCATTGACTCACTGCAGCTAAAATAGATTGGCGGGATGTCCCACTTAATAAGGTTTTTTACTTATGATTGGATCTACGGATTACGTCCTGTACCCCACCATCCCTGTGTAGCCCTCCAGCCGGGCTCTTACCTCCTGCGCGCAGCTGAAACTGTATCTACGTACCGCTGAACTTCAGCTTGTGGCCCTTAAAAGTTCAACAACCACGCGCTCATATGTAGAAGATATCGAAAGCAGGTTTTCTACTATATATAAACTATCTGAGATTGTGGATATAATAAAGCCTCACATTTACCTACCTCGGTCAACATCACCATCATCGACATCAATTAATAGCGCTACAAGTAGTATTAAGTTCGTATACCTACCTAGGTACTAGTAATGCAAGTCTCCGTTCACGTTTCAATTGGAACGAGCACGCCTTGCCAAACGTTATTAGTGTTTTGTATGTTATGTACCTAGGTATCATTAAGGCGTGTGTATTGAAGCCGACGGCTCGTTAGTTTAGTACATATATGGTAATAAGTAGCTAATAGATTATAAATCTTGTAGTCACAAACGCATAGCTGTTTTAGCAATATTTAATATTTAAGAGATATTCTAATTGCTGTCACTTATTTTCAAATTGGCCATTTCTGATTAAACAGCTGTGTAAGTTGATAGATCTTAGGATAAATCTAAGGAAGACTAAACCATTTCAGTGTAACTATATAGGTACCTTTAGACTTTGTTAGGGTTAGTTTAAGGCTTGACTTAAATGGTGAAATGCTTGGCTTGAAACTACCTGTTATAATAACGCAAGCACTTCACTGAGACCTTGAGTCATAACCTAGAATGGACCGGATACTATAGCATGCTCAGGTTTCGAACCCTTCTGCATGCTCTAGCAATGTAAATCTGTACTGGGGTTTGCTAGGTCAACGTTTAGGTACTAAGCAATATCAAGAGCTGCTCGTAGAAAAAAAATCAATTTATATTATTTAGGGGTATACGTTCGAAATGACCGAATAACTACTTAGGTACCAAGGTGGTTTGGAAATAACATTTCTATGCGAAGCAAAAAAAAAAAGCTATTTACTAAGCTGCATCTATCATATATTATCCACTCTGGTACCAGAGGTAGCAAACGTCTATTTGCTATCTATCGGCTCAGGCAAATATCTACCTCTTGTGTTTGGTCTACATCTAGTTAAGTTTTGTTGGTTGAACTTGGACAGTTTCAAAAAGGAGTCCATGCCATATGTCCATACATACGATAACGTAACAAAGGGGAGAAGGTGGGTCTGTAGAAGGGTCGGAACATTGAAACGTATTTGTGGCTTGTACGTCTTTATAGGTAGATTATCAGGTACGTATCTTTTTGTAATGCACAGATCCGCCACTTAGAAGATGCGACCGTAGCCACACATATCCTAACCCCTGCAGGATTGGTTCTTTCCTCCTCAGCCTACCTTGGTTAGTCGGAACGCGTCGACGGGTTCTTCCACTTTTCACGCATCGCATCGCGGACATGTCAACCGCATCACATGCCCTCCCAACTTATTTCTCTATAGTCACATTTTCCTAGGTATACTCACGACTACTATCGCGACTATATGCGCCGGCAAACCCGCAACTTTTGCCGATAAATCATCGCTTTCAAATTACTTGGAACGTAAACAACCAGGTTCATGGCCAGCCACACTTAATTCGTTACACATCTCATCACCATAGCCACTCTCTTCACTCACTCTTAGACTTCACTTCGTCTTGGCCCCAATTCTTCACCCGGCTTTCATCTCAATTTTACGCCATAATTCTTATTGATTTGTTTCCGGCGCTAAGGATATTCAATAATGCAACCTCAATATCTGTAATTCCTAATTGGTTGCGTCCAAACTTGGTGCTTCCTAGGCAACTGCTCGGCAACACTCATACCTGCTTATTCTTTTTCTTTAGCAGGAGTTTGCCCGGCAAGGTTCCATAGCCGTTCGGTCATTCCTGTACATTCTACTTGACTGCTCCATCTCTAAATCCGGGTACCACGGCACTGTGGTGGGCTGCGCCGATGTTCTCCTTCAGAGATGGCAACCATCACCCCGTACAAACGCGAACTACCTTTCATCCACCGAGCCTGGAAAACTGCCGTGGATCGTCTATCTCCATACGGCATGGGAATCAAGTTATCATCAACAAACGGTGACAGCGTCGTTAATGATGAGCGTGGCTCTCGTGCTACCAAAAGACGTCGCATAGTTGAAGACTCACCAGAGTCGACTCCAAATGGCGCTGTTGGCCACTTATTATCTGAAAACTATGACGACTTCGAGAAAGCCCTCCGCGTGGAAGTTCTCCAGATTACCCACAAGGAAAGCTCTAATTTCAGGTCCAGCAATTTATTGAATGGCACGGGATCTCCCGCAAAAAAGGATACTCCGACAATTCGTATCCGTTGTAAGCTTAGCATTTTCCGACTGCGTGGGTCAAAGGAAGTTCGCATCCTCTATTGCGATAGCCAAATATGCAATTTAAAGGTCTTTCGAGACGCAGACGATATCTGCCGGAGAGCTAGAATATATCTCAATTCGCCATTTCATATCCCGGCGGATAAAATATTCGTCGAGCGAGATGATGACAATGGTTTTGATCTGGATGATAACTATCTGGTTCAAGCCGAGCTGGAGTCGGCTGGTGATCCATGTTGGCCACCCGTTGACCTACTACCCAAAGAAGAAACCCAGGGCAACATTTCGAGCAACCCACGGCATTGGGTTTTGACGTCTCAAGTCGTTTACAGGTTTGAAAAGCACCGGGCCTCGACACCTGTTAAGATTAGGAAGAGAGTCGGTCAAGAAATGGGGACTGAACTAATGATGGACATGGATCTGAGATGGTCCACATGTCATAGAGCAGGTAGCACTACCGAAGTTGAGGTTTCACCTCCAGAGACCAGGGCGGCATTTCCTAATGGTGCTCTAGAGCCCTTAACAAACGGGCATGTCAATGGGAGGGCGGACAATACAACAAATGGCGTTTTGAAAGATGATCAGGATGTCTTGGTAGAAGACGATGAGGACCATGAAGAGGCGGCAACCCCCAGTCGCTCACTAAGAACGAGGGGAAAGCAAAACTATAATCTCAAGCTGCTGAGTGACAAGGCACGAGGGAAAGAGCGTAAAGAACGCAAGCAACGTAAATTGGCTGAGAATAGAAGCCAAGCTGGGCAAGTTACGTGGGTACTCCCTCAAAACGGGGGAGTCGTACTAAAGAATTTCCAATGCATACGATGCTACGCTGCTCATTCATCCATGAACCAGCTAGTAGAACATGTTAAGGTTCATTACCAGTTCAAGTATGACTTTGATATAAGTTCCTCCCGCATCTGGATCTCTCATCATGGTCAAGATACCCCGCGCCGGTCTGGCTCGTACATGTTGGACGTTCAAAGCTCAGAGGGCCCCGAGAGCGACCTCGAAGATAATATATCCCTTCATAGGACCCATAACACCTTAACGCAGTCAAGGTCTTTGCAGGTAAGTTGACATTAAAAATGTCCGAGCGGATACGGCGAAAATTGGATAATACTAACCCGGTGGTGCAAAGACATACCTCCCAGGTCGTCCGAAGGATACAAGGCAACAAGTGCCAAATAACAAACAGCCTATGTACGATCGTCTCAGTAAAGCGCTACTTGAACCAGGATCTTTGGTCGATCCGCCAGACATCGACGATACTTGGCTAGTACAAAAGCACCGAGACATCATTCGGGATTACAGTGATGTCCACCAAGATGAGAAGGAATATATTTCAGAATGGGATGCTTACGTAAATAAAGAATGCGTCACTTCGGAGCCTCATTTACAAGACGTTTATCTCAAATTCGTCCAAGACAAGGCATCGTGGCTAGTTGCGTCTCAGAGCCGCATGACGGAATTCTCAAAGCACCTAAGTTACCTAAAAGCAAGGAACTCTCTAGTTGAATCAACTATCGTTAAAGCGCTCGCAATTATGCGGCAAGCTAGGTCTCAGAAGCGGCCTGAGCAGCCTGAGACTACAAAACCACCCTCTCCGAGAACTCAGTATCGCAAGTCAGCATCAGGATGTGCTATCTGTGGTCAACCAATCCGAGGGCCATCCACACTAATCTGTTCAAATTTGGTTAGTCAACCCCGTACCCCTTTACTTTCCCTTTGGGCCCGCTCTAGAATGTAAAGCTAACTGTCTGAAGGATTGCGACAAACCCTTATACCACATCAATTGCATCCGAGGGCATGTAAAGATGCCCGTAGGGTGCCGCAACTGGCGTTGTAACGATTGTTGCAGCAATTAGGGAGCTCTAAGTGTGGATGTTGTAACATGTCCAGCCTACGTCTACTTCACGTTGGAAACCAGAAATCACCTTCATACGGGTGGTTAGAGACGGATAGTTCGACTTGGAAATCCTCACCCTAACTCCCGAGGGAAACGCATGGGGCTCCTTAATGATAGGTGATTTCAGAGCCTCAGTTGCGATCAATGTTGAATAGGTGGCAACGAGGTATCCGCAACTTCTCTGTAACCCATACTACGTTTTTAGAGCCATCTCTATAGAGGGCTCATCGAACATAACATACCTATAACTGATGGGGCAATTTACTGCCATATGAATCAAGGAATTTAGTTAATAATCAGTTGCCTCGTCATCCGTGAATTTAGTAAATACGATAAAATGACTTATGAGTGAGCCCCTTGAATTAACAAGTGGGTACCTAGGTAGGTACTTACTTCTAAGGTAGACTTTACTAGATAATCAATTCTTCCAAATCTATCCAGAATAATTCACTGTCTTGATCAGTGTCACTTTTAATATTTTCAGTTATAACCTAATATTCTTCCACTGGAAGTAAGACTTGGCTAAGTACCCAGCCTATAGGGAACAGGTAGTTATGAATATCTTACGGCGTAGAATCAGATCCCCAGAAAGCCGTGAATAGATCCTTTTCCCAGTATCAGTGCTAGGGGCTACGCCAAACCCCTTTATACCCTTTTCTCGGCGCCTAAAATAGTAATTAACTGACTCGAAAACGAGTTGTTACTATTAGGAATAATTGCAATTCGATTACCTAGGTACTTCAATAAAATGGCTTCTACATGTTCGCGGACGAAAGGTCTGTGATACAGGTTACAATTTCCAAGCAATCACCAGGTGTTCGTTGCCGCAGCTGTGATCGTAATAGCAGGACACATCAACACGTGCTGTCAAAACTGGAAAAGGGATGAGTCACTCAGAGTTTGTTATCCGTCTTCGACCACATATCAAATACCTACCGAAGTCTTATTAATACTATTTAGCCCTTCGATCCCTCCCTTTCGAATCCATCTCCACGATACCACCAGACCCAAAATCGCCATCAATCAGCATATACCCCTTCGCATACAGTCATAATATCTATCAATACTACTAAACACTACTAAACACAAGGAACTACCAGGCTCCACAACACTCCTACCACAATGTCGAGGCTCAGCATCATCCTCACCCTCTTCGCCATGTTTATCATAGCTGATTGTGTCCTGAGATTAACGTCGTCTAATAAGGAAAGTCCGACTGGTTTGGGTATGGGGTCGTTGGCCTTTGTAGTATGCGTTGCTTTCATCGCATACATGTTCGGCCGCCCGGTCGACAGCGACAGGGGGGACGATCAGAAAATAATTCCGAACAGATAATCGATATTGCTGATTTCGAGACCTCTGAGGTGAAGGCACTATATTCACTTAAAACTGATGGGTGTGTTTGGGAGCGGATATGATCTACTAGAGCCACTTTTCTCTTTGCTGGTAGTTTAAGGTGTATCGTTACCCAAGCGGCTGAGTTGTACTCCTGAACAAAGCTGTGCGTATGGGTCCATTGCAGTCAATAACAGAACCCCTTGACCCAAGTAGCAATACATCTCTACCAGAGAGACTATCCATTTAGAGCGATCCGTGATTAATATAATGCGAATGAGTTCTTAGACCCTATCAATTTGTCACGACTTTAACGTGAAATACTTTTAATGCATTTAATAAGTAATGCTAATGCCGACCCTTACAAAAACCGGGTTACAGAATGAAAGGAGGCCAGATGTTACTTCTCATGTTTTTTCCTTGTCACAAATAGCCATCTGTTTCCAAATGGAAGTAATGTCATATGCCTAATTCTTACCTAGACTTCCGTAAATTATTCATACTATTCATACTCATGATGATAAGACTGATAAAAATCAGCTTGTTGGCGACGAAATTAGTATTACCACCTGAATACAACTGAGACAAAGTGATCGACTATCCAGTACTTTAATGGAGATTAACGATCACCGTTTACTTACATAGGTGAATTGCCACATGACACTGATCATTGGGGGTTATATTAATGAAGCCAGGATGCGGGTGGGTTTGATTATGTTTAGGTTCTCGATCTTTATTAAGAAGTAATCAAACCTTAAATATAGCCATATATACTTCAAAAGTCTTAGATAAGAAAGGCTCATGCTGTGTTCCAAACTATACCGATGTCGTGGAATCTCGAGGGTATGTAAAGAGAAGCGATGGCTGTACCCCGCATCCGAGAACGACGGGATGCTGCGCCGATGGTCCAATCACTGGATTTGCATGGGTTCTACATACGATAACGAGCTGTAGTTGGTTGATGATTTCCTGGCTGTTTAGACCTCGGGATGTGGCATTGTATCTATCTTATTTATCTATCTTATTACCTAGGGATGGAATGTGGTAACGTTGCGGGGCATATCTATTACTGGTTATCTATTACTAGTTGATAGGCAATATTATCTTGTTCGAGTATTCCTACAGCACCGTGAGAACAAAGGAAACTTTAACGGGCAACTCCTCGAACTCGTGGCCGGACAAAGCAGTCTCAGATTTCCCCGGACCACACTTCCCCGGATAGTTTCCTTTGGGTAATCGAGGTCAATATGGCGAGATCTCAGGAACATAGACAACAACCCTCTCGAGTAGAGGAAGGTGTTGAGGAGAAGATCCAACCGGAAATTCAGCAACATATCAGCGGGAGTGATAAGCATGATTCTGAAAAAGGCCTTGGAGATGAACATAGCCCGGGGAATGGGCAGTATGCTCAGATCGACCCGGTTGTTGCCAGTCGCATCGCGGAGAGTGTTGACGACTTCATGGTAAGACTAACACTTACACTTTTTATACCTATAGACCTACAAGCAGAGGAGATATGTTAAACAGAAAACAGACCCTCGTCAGCGAGGCGAATGACGCAAATGAGAGGGAACGAGATATGAAACTTTCCCATGCCTTCAAGGTGTATCCTAAAGCCGTCGGCTGGTCGATGCTCCTCTCATCATGTATCATAATGGAGGGATTCGGGACATCGATTGTTGGCTCGTGTAAGTCAATGCTTGTTACCGATTGTCTCGATATAGATATTAATATCAATCTCGTAGATATTTCCTTCCCCCCTTTCCGCGATAGGTTCGGCACTCTAGCACCTAATGGAGAGTACCAGATCCCCGCGAGTTGGCAGAATGGAATTGCAGGTGCAACTAATGTCGGCGAGATTATTGGCCTTCAGGTATGTACTTATTTCTTTCTCACTTACACCTAAAGCTTTGTGCTAAGGGAGAATTGCCCTAGATTGCCGGTGTCCTATCTGAACGCTGGGGTTACCGTTGGACGATAATATCTGCACTGGTTGCTGTCACGGCCTTCATCTTCTTTCCGTTCTTCGCCAATAGCCTCACGATATTCCTCGTTGGTGAATTATTCCAGGGCATGGCCTGGGGTATTTTTCAGACCATGACCGTGGCCTATGCAGCTGAGGTTTGCCCTGTGCCCCTGAGGCACTATCTTACCAGCTACGTCAACCTCTGCTGGTTAGTCTTCACCAATTCCACGAATTCCACCTCTGTAAACTAGATACTGATGATACCTTAAAGGATCATCGGCCAATTCATCTCAGCGGGTGTGCTTGTCGGGCTCGTAGATCGACAAGACGAATGGGGGTAAGTTTAGACCTTTGCTCTGGGCCGACGACGCTTGCACTAAAAACCACCCCTAGATACAAGATCCCCTTCTCCTTACAATGGGTCTGGCCGATTCCTATTGCTATCGGCACCTTTCTCGCGCCAGAGTCGCCCTGGTGGTGCGTTCGACATGACCAAAAAGAGCGAGCGGAGAAGTCGCTAAAGCGGCTGGCTCGTAGTTCCGGGTTTACCCAGCGCGATGCTGATGCGGCAATGGCCCGTATGTCACCCTAAGGACTTTAGCATATTATCTTTGGCTTAGGTGATTAATTTTATAGTGATGGTCTATACGGACGAGATGGAGAAGCAGGTTTCTCAGGGGACTAAATACTGGGACTGCTTTAGAGGTACCGATCTTAGGCGGACCGAGATTGTATGCTTTATATGGCTTGCGCAAACCATGTCTGGCACAGCTATCGGCGGCCTATCGTCTTACTTCTTCCAGCAGGCGGGAATTTCAGACGCAGATTCGTTCAAGCTAGGTTGGGGCCAGAATGGTCTCAACGCTGTCGGGACGATTGCCAGTTGGTTCATCCTAAACAAGGCTGGGAGAAAGACCTTAGTATTATGGGGGATGGTTGTGATGTTTATTTTACTCTTGTATGCTTTAATATTTCCCTTCTCGTCTCTAGGCTAACTCCCCTATTCCCAGGATCACCGGCTTCATGGGAATTCATGACCCGCCTAGCACTGCGGAAGCCTGGACGGCAGGAACAATGGTAATCCTACTAAGCGCCACAGCCAACTTCTCCATTGGCCCCGTAGTCTATACTATCGTCTCTGAGATCCCATCAACACGGCTGCGTGCCAAATCTATTATCTTGGCCCGTAACGCCTACAACGCTATTAATATCGCCTTTATTAATATTGTCTCGTACCGGCAGCTCAACCCGGCCGAGTGGAACTGGGGCCCCAAAGCTGCTTTCTTCTGGGCTGGCACGAATGCTATCTTTACGGCTTGGATCTTCTTTCGACTACGTTAGTACCCCTCGTGTTTGGATAAGTTATGTGTTTCCTTTAGCTTATAGGATTGTTACTAATCCCTGGATCGCTTTCACATAGCTGAAACTAAAGGTCGAACCTACGCCGAGCTCGATATACTATTCGAGAATAAAGTACCTGCTCGTAAATTTGCGAGTACCAAAGTCGAAACATTGCTTCGTGGCACAGAAGGCGCACAAAAGGAACAGGTAGATCTTATTACTAGTAACGACGCGGGGGGAAAGAGAGCTGAGATTTAGATGCTGTACATCTCTTATTCTTATGTTGTTAGTAGATAGATGCAAGAATATTTACGGTGAAACTTACACAGGAAGAAAGGTTATAATTAAATTTACCAAATAAATGAGTGCATATATCAAGTCGTGAAAATTACAGATGAACGTTTATTACCCAATCTCCCGCCTTGGGCATATCACCTTTGATTGAATTGATACCTGGGCAATGAGTACTCGCAAACCGCTCATCGATCCCAATGCTATACACTAATAAGTACAAGTCAATTTATTATTAGTCCTCTTCTAGGAAGCGGGCCAGCCTAGAACCTATATTTCTTCTTTTCGTCCCTCTTCTCCTCGTCACGCTTTAGCCTCTTGCGACTCTCATTCGCAATCATCTCTTCTAAGCCTTCTTCTCTC